TTACAAACAAGTAAGCAAAGGCTACAGTCGAGCGGGGCCGACCGTTGAATACCCTACAACACTATAATAAACGATACAGTTTATATAGGCGAGATACTCGAAAGAATTCCACAAGATATTGTGACAAATAATAAAAGAAAACCATCAGGTTTCGTTCTCTAATTTTCGAATAATAGCAACTTAAACTAATTTGCTCATTTCCAATTTATTGGTAGATGTTGCACGTAAATGGTCTTCCTAGATTTGGAACCAATATTTCCCAAAGACCTATAATCCCTCAGACGTGGCAAAAGATTAACATTTATTATTGGTTTTTGGCTGAAACGCAACGAAATCAGCGCTAACGAAATAGTCAGAAGTGCGTCTTTCCTGTATTTGTGAATTCTCCAAAAAGTCACCGGAATGGACTTTTTCGTATTTTGTCTACAAAAGTTGGCAAACTATTTCACACATTGAATATTTTTGGGATGGCCATCCAAAACTGCTTGGCTTTTGCAATGTCCGGTAACCACCATTCAAATGTGCGTGAGGGCAATAATTACGACCTGTTGACAAATTTTGGTCCATTTCAACCCCTAAATATATGGCGATCATCTCCAAAAAGAGTAGGCTTCTATTCTGACCCTCATCTTATCCCCATGCAAAATTTCGTAAGGATCGGGCCATAAATGCGATCTGTATATGATATCCTTACTACTTAGTTTTATTAGCTGTAGAAATATTACCAAATGTTTAATTCAAAATGAAAATATGTTAAAAATATGACAAAATTGAAAAAATATGAGAAAATATTACAAAATCAATATTTTCATCTATAGAGAGATATTTTTATGCGATTTTTTAGACGTTTTTTCTTTCCTGCCAAGAGGCCATTCTGAATTAATGAGAACTGTCGAAATCAATTCAGCCGTTCTCGACATATAAGAGATCTTTCAAGCATATCCTCTTTGATAGACATATATATCGCACATATTTTGCTATATATCCGATTTGTTGGATGTTAACATCAATGTAAAGATCAGGAGTAACTTTGTCATGGCTTTGTGATTTAGCCGGGATTTCAAATATTCGCGGTTTAATGAAAAATGTTGCATTTTTTCAACACAAAAGATATGGTCTATTTTACCCGCTAAATATTATCCGATGACCACCCAAATTGGTAGGCTTCTTCCCTGCCCTAAACTCTAGCTACATGCGAAATTCCGCGTCGATTGGTCTATAATTGCGACCTGTATAGCTACTGAAAAATCCGACATTTTGGTCCATTTCAACCCCTAAACATTTGGCGATCATCTCCAAAAGAAATAGGGTTCTATTCTGACCTCAACCCCACCTACATTCTAAATTTCGTGAAGATCGGGCCATAATTGCGACCTGTAGAGTGATTACAAATTAACATGGACAGACGGACAGACGGACGGACGGATATACATAGCTAGATCGACTCAGCTCGGCGAGCTAGGAAGATCCATATATACTTTCCTATGTGGGAAATCAATATTTCGAGGTGTTACATAATTTTTGGCCCAATCAAACTTATAATACCCCCAACACATAGTGTTGTAGGGTATAAATATACACTTCAATATTATAAGTCAAATTGAAACCAGTAAAGAAAGTCTTAAAGTCGGGCGGGGCCGACTTTATGATACCCTACACCACTTTGCTAATTTAGTAGAGCTCCACATAACAATTAAAAGTTTTTATGGGAGAATTCAATCATACACGCTATGATAATAATTATAATTTAAAGTTCAAAGGACTAAATATGCCGAAGCATTTGTATCTTTTAAATTCGGAATTGTATTGCCCATTTGGTGCACAATTAATTTGAAATCGGATAAAGATATATATGGGAGCTATATCCAAATCTGAACCGATCTCGATAAAATTGGGCAAAGATATTTCTGAGCTATATTTGATATATTTCCCTGAATATCGTTGTTACGGAGTGCATATTACGTCTGTGGGTAACAATTATAACAAATCGGATGAATAATATATATGGAAGCTATTGCTATATCTGAACCGATCTTCACCAAATTTGACATACTAGCTTCTAGACTCAATCCAGTCGTAAGTGCCAAATTCCATCCTATTTGGACAAATATTAGACGTTTGGTGCACAATAAAAGGTAAATCGGACGAAGCTATATATGGGAGCTATATCCAAATCTGAACCGATCTCGATAAAATTTAGCAAATGTATTTCTGAGCTGTATTTGATATATTTCCCCAAATATTGTTGTTGCAGAGTGCATATTACGGCGGCGGTGGACAAAAATAACAAATCGGATGAACAATATATATGGGAGCTATAGCTATATCTGAACCGATTTCGATCAAATTTGGCATACATATTTTCAGGCCTAATCTGGGTGTATATGCAGAATTCCATACAATTCGGGCTGATATTACACGTTTGGTGCACAATAAAAGGCAAATCGGACGAAGATATATATGGGAGCTATATCTAAATTTTTACCGATCATTTCCAATTTCAATAGGGTTCGTCCTTGGACCAAACAAATGATCTGTGTAAAATTTCATCTGGATCGGGCAATAAATGCGACCTGTACTTTGTTTACAAAAATACATAGACAGACGGACGGACGGACGGACGGACATGCATAAATCGACTCAGAATGTGATTCTATGCAGATCATCAAAAGGAACTATGGGTCTATCTCGTTTCCTTCTGCCTGTTACAAACAAATGCACAAAGACATAATACCCTGACCACATTGTGGTGTAGGGTATAAAAATCGCATGCGATAAAAAATATGAAACCAGTAAGGAAAGCTCAAAAGTCGGGCGGGGCCTATATGATACCCTACACCACTATGCATATTTAGTAGAGCTCTCGTAAAAAGGTTTATACAGGGCATTCAGAGCTCTATGAGATATTTGGTACAAAATCAAAATCTATCTAATTCTATTGTGCATTTTACGAACTATAGCTATCTCTGAACCGGATTTCTCCAAATTTTACGTATTAGCTTCTAGACTGAATTCGGTCTTATGCACGAAAATTCAGGTGATTTGGGCTGATATTGACCATTTAGTGCACATTTAACCCGAAATCGGATGAATATATATATATATATATGGGAGCTATATCCAAATCTGAACCGATTTCGATAAAATTACAAACAGCTATTTCTGGGATGTATCTTATATCTGGTACGAAATATCATTCTTGTGGAGTGCATATTACGAATGTGAAAGGCTTAAACACCAAGTCGGATAAAACATATATACGGGAGCTATAGCTATATCTGAACCGATTTTCTCCAAATTTGTTGTATTTGCTTTAAGGCTAATCTCGGTCACATGTGCCAAAATTCGGGCCATTTGGGCTGATATTGGCCATTTGGTGGTCAATTAACCTGAAATCGGATGAAGATATATATGGGAGCTATATCCAAATCTGAACCGATTTCGATAAAATTTAAAGCAGCTATTTCTGTGCTCCATCTAATACCTGGTACCAAATATCACGGTTGTGGAGTGCATAGTAGGAATGTGAGGGACTTAAAGATCATATCGGATGAAAGATATATATGGGAGCTATAGCTATATCTGAACCGATTTTCTCCAAATTTGATATAATTGCTTCTAGGGCGAACTCGGTTGGGTGTGCCAAAATTCAGGTAATTTGGACTGATAGTGGACATTTGGTGCACATTTAACCCGAAATCGACTGAAGATATATATGGGAGCTATATCTAAATTTGATCCGACTCTCATCCAATTTCAATAGTGTTCGTCCTTGGGCCAAAAAAATATTGTTTGGAAAATTTCATCTCAATCGGATAATAAATGCGACCTGCATTTTGTTCACAAGAATACATGGACAGACAGACTGACATCAATCGACTCAGAAAATGATTCTATGAAGGTTCTCAAAAGTAACTATGGGTCTATCTCGTTTCCTTCTCCATGTTACAAACAAATGCACAAAGACATAATACCCTTACCACTATGTGGTGTAGGGTATAAAAATGTCACAAAATACTACAAAATCTATTTTAACATCATTATTGGCATCTTTTTATGTGATTTTTTAGAGTTTATTCCTTTGTGCCAAGAGGGCATTCTGAATTGACAAAATTTGTCAAAATTGCTCCAGCCATTCTGGAGATATAAGCATTCTAGCTAACATCCCCTTCCTTTGTATATATACATTGTATATATTTCGCTATATATATATCGGATATATTTACTATCGGCATCTACATAACGGTCAGAATTGACCTTTTCGTCTATTTGAGACATCGCAGGCATTAAAAAATTATTTATCATAAATGCTATGGCCTATTTCAACCACTAAATATTACCCGATGACCATCAAAATTGGAAAGTCTCTGCCCAGCCCAAAGCTATAGCCCCATGCAAACTTTCGCTTCGATTGGTCTATAATTGTGACCTGTAGAGCAACTGCAAAATCAGGATATTTTTCAGTTTTTGGTCCATTCAAAAGAAATAGGGTTCTATTCTGACCCTAACCCCACCTACATTTTAAATTTCGTGACGATCGGGCCATAATTGCGACCTGTAGAATGATTACAAATTAACATGGACAGACGGACGGACAGACATACATAGCTAGTTCGACTCAGCTCGGCGAGCTAGGAAGATCCCTATATACTTTCCTATGTGGGAAACGAATATTTCGAGGTGTTACATAATTGTTGGCCCAATCAAACTTATAATACCCCCAACACATAGTGTTGTAGGGTATAAATAGGGAGGTATCATTATATGGGGACTATATCAAAACGTGGACCTACATGGCCCATTTTCAATACCAAAAATTCTGACATAATACACATTTGAGTGAAATTTTATCAACCTACTTCATTTTGTTCCGAAGCTAGAGTGATTTCCTCAGAAGGACAAATCGATAGACGAACGGACATCGTTAAATCGACATAGACATAGCGTGGCAAGGGAATGTATTGGTTCAATCGTTTTTATTTATAATCGACGACCAAAAATTTTTCAATTTATTCCTTTAATTTTTGTTCGTTGATTCGTTTCAAAGTTCTCTCCAAGGCTCTCGGAAATGAAAAATTCACACCTTGTCATAGTAATTCGGATTTTGTTTTTCCACTGACTTTTTCTTCTTTTCATTCCACAGATGACGAACGAAAGAGCATGTTGTGTATAAGGCAAGGACTTCCATTCCTGCAAAATAAATATAAATAGATAACAATTTAAATGTGTTTTTTGTTGTTAAATTTAAAATAATTATTTAAATAAGCATACCAACAACCAACACATTACTCAATATGAATGGAAAGTGGTCATACCGCATCCACATGAAATTAAATGTATTGTTCAGTACCGTGTAACCTATTGCCCAAATGATGCATGGAATAAAGGGTATCAAGGCCAGTGGATGCTAAGGAGTATATTTCTAGGTTTATTTTGCTCCCACTTATTCAATTGTGTGATTTCTTACCCTTAAAGTACCCCAGATTTGCAGAAGACAAACAATGATTGCTCCAGAGCATATAGCTATCTTTAGAGCCACTTGGTCATCATCATCATCATTCGGGGTATTGTGGTTGAAAGATGCTAAAAATATGAAGGAGAGGTTTTGGAGAACTTTTGTGATTTAGTAAAAAAGAAAAATTGGAAGTTGAAGAGAAGATCCACCAAAATTTTTATATATTTATGTTTTTTATACCCTTCATCATAGTATGGAGGGTATATTAAGTTTGTCATTCCGTTTGTAACACCTCGAAATATACATTTTAGACCTTGATCAGCACAAAATTCTATGTCGATTTAGAAATGTCCGCCTATCCGTCTGTGGAAATCACTCTAGCTTCCGAACGAAAAGAAGCAGGTTGATAAAATTTTACTCAAATGTGTACTATGTCTGCAGGACACGTGGCATTGAAAATGGGCCATGTAGGTCCACGTCTTCGTATAGCCCCCATATAACGGTACCTCCCGATATTCGCTATTTTAATGATTTTAACGACGTTTTCCAACGGAATTGTTTCAAATTTGGTATTTGAAGTTCGAAACAGATGCTACATCCTAAGACAGAAAATGAGCCATGTAGGTTCACGTCTTCGTATAGCCCTCATATAACAATACCTCCCGATATTGTTTTTTTTTTTGATGATTTTAGAGACATTATTTTCCGGAACTATTTCAAATTTAGTATTTGAATTTCGTAATGAATACTACTAAATTGTCTGTGCAGGTCCACGTCTTCATATAGCCCCCATATAACGGTACCTCCCGATATTCGTTATTTTGATGATTTTAGCGACATTATTTACCTGAATAGCTTCAAATTTGGTATTTGAAGTTCGTAACAGATATTACATCCTACGACAGAAAACGAGCCATGTAGGTCCACGTCTTCGTATAGCCCCCATATAACGGTACCTCCCGATATTCGGCATTTTGATGATTTTAGCGGCATTATTTACCGAAACTATTTCAAATTTCGCATTTGAAGTTCATAATAGATACTACAGCCTATGGCAGAAAACTGTCTGTGTGGGTCCACGTCTGCGTATAGCCCCCATATAACGGTACCCTCCGTTATTCGGTATTTTGATGATTTTAGCGTCATTATTTACCGGAATTGTTTGAAATTTGGTATTTGAAATTGGTTATGGATACTACAGCCTGTAACAGAAAATTATCTGTGCAGCTCCACGACTTCGTATAGCCCCCATATAACGGTACCCCCGATATTCGGTATTTTGATAATTTAAGCGACATTATTGACCGGAATACTTTCAAATTTGGTATTTGAAGTTCGCAATGAATACTACAGCCTATGAGAGAAAAATGTTTGTGCAGGTCCACGTCTTCTTATAGCCCCCATATAACGGTACCTTCCGATATTCGGTATTTTGATGATTTTAGCGACATTATTTCCCGGAATTGTTTCAAATTTCGCATTTGAAGTTCGTAATGGATACAGCAGCCTATGCCAGAAAATTGTCTGTGCAGGTCTACGTTTTCGTATAGCCCCCATGTAACGGTGCCTCACTATATTCGGTATTTTGATGATTTTGGCTACATTATAAACAGTTTGTTTTTAAGTATCGCATTTGAATATTGTAATAGCTTGTGACAAAAGTTGCCTATGCAGGTCCACGTCGTCGTATAGACCCTAATATACGGCTAGATTCGATATTTTCAAGATTATAACAGAATTTTTAACGGATTTATTTTTTTTGAAAATTGCCAAATAGGTTCCAAAATGTGCTTAAATATTTTCAACTTACATTCTTTCAATATTTTGCGATTTTCAAATTCCTTTAAAACTATTGCAACGCAAAACGACAATGCAGATAAGCCAATTATTAAATTCTGTTTTGTAAGAGTATTCATATTTTTTGTGCGAAATTTTTTGTTTGATAAGAATTGAAATATAATATTTTTTTGGTCAACTCAGAATAGAAATTTAGATTGTAGGTAGTTGTTTTACCTTTAAAGGTTTATAATAAACTGACACAAGAATGCAAATATGACAATGATTTAAACAAAAATTGGTACTGAGTCTAGATATCACACACAACGGCCTAAGTTGATTTTGGGATTTTTTTGGAAAAGTTAAGTGTTCTGCTTATCAAATTTTTATTCTTGGTATTTCATTCTTTTTATACCCTACAACACTATGTGTTGGGGGTATTATAAGTTTAATTGGGCCAAAAATTATGTAACACCACGAAATATTGGTTTCCCACATAGGAAAGTATATATGGATCATCCTAGCTCGCCGAGCTGAGTCGATCTAGCTATGTATGTCCGTCCGTCCGTCTGTCCGTCTGTCCATGTTAATTTGTAATCACTCTACAGGTCGCAATTATGGCCCGATCTTCACGAAATTTAGAATGGAGGTGGGGCTAGGGTCAGAATAGAAGCCTATTTCTTTTGGACATGATCGCCAAATGTTTAGGGGTTGAAATGGACCAAATACTGAAAAAATGTCGGATTTTGCAGTAGCTATACAGGTCGCAATTATAGACCAATTTCGCATGTAGCTAGAGTTTAGGACGGGGAAGAAGCCTACCAATTTGGGTGGTCATCGGATAATATTTAGCGGGTAAAATAGACCATATATTTTGTGTTAAAAAAATTTAAAATTTTTCATTAAACCGCGAATATTTTAAATCCCGGCGAAATCACAAAGCCATGACAAGGTTACTTCTGACCTTTACATTGATGTTAAGATGCAAAAATTCGAATATATATAGCAAATATATGCGATATATATGTCTATCAAAGAAGATATGCTTGAAAGATCTCATATATGTCGAGAGCGGCTGAACTGATTTCGACAGTTCTCATTAATTCAGAATGGCCTCTTGGCAGGAAAGGAAAAACGTCTAAAAATCGCATAAAATATCTCTCTAAAGATGAAAATATTGATTTTGTAATATTTTCTCATATTTTTTCAATTTTGTCATATTTTTGGCATATTTTCATTTTGAATTAAACATTTGGTAATATTTCTACAGCTAACAAAACTAAGTAGGTAGGATATCAGGATATTATATACAGATCGCATTTATGGCCCGATCCTTACGAAATTTTGCATGGAGATAAGATGAGGGTCAGAATAGAAGCCTACTATTTTTGGAGATGATAGCCATATATTTACGGGGTTGAAATGGACCAAAAAACTGCAAAATTGTCAGCAGGTCGTAATTATCGCCCGATCCTCACGCACATTTGAATGGAGGTTACCGGACATTGCAAAAGCCGGCAGTTTTGGATGGCCATCCAAAAATATTCAATGCGCGAAATAGTTTGCCAACTTTTGTAGACTAAATACGAAAATGTCCATTCCAGTGACTCTTTGGAGAATTCACAAATACAGGAAAGACGCATTTCCGACTATTTCGTTAACGCTGATTTCGTTGAAGAATATTGTCAAATGTCTGTATCTCATATAGATGCGTTTCAGTCAAAAACCAATAATAAATGTTAATCTTTTGCAACTTCTGACAGATTATAGGTCTTTGGGAAATATTGGTTCCAGATCTAGGAAGACCATTTACGTGCAACATCTACCAATAAATTGGAAATGAGCAAATTAGTTAAAGTTGCTATTATTCGAAAATTAGAGAATGAAACCTGATGGTTTTCTTTTATTATTTGTTACAATATCTTGTGGAATTCTTTCGAGTATCTTGCCTATATAAACTGTATCGTTTATTTTAGTGTTGTAGGGTATTCAACGGTCGGCCCCGTTCTTCTAAAATATCCCACCCTTTGACCCCCAATTAATAAATCTTATCAGTTTCTAATTACATATTTCTATGATATTGAACCAGCACTTTGGGCATCTCAAAATAAAGCAACGCCTCAAAATGTTGCTCGTGCCTTCATAGAATCGCTGATAAGACGCTTGCGTTTATTTAGATTGTTTTCATAAAGCAAAAGAAATTTTACTAAAAAAATTTAATTTTGACAAACTTAATGCGGAACATTTAACGATTAAATACAAAATGAATTTAACGCATGCCAGCTTTGGTATCATTTTTGCCTTGATTTCAAATATTTTACGATTTTTCTAAATGTTCAACAGGGTTCAATATTTCTGGTACGTCCCCAAAAAATTGCATTATTTATACATATATCTCATATATAACTCATATAAAATAAACTCAGGTCCCGATAGAAATGAGAATGCGACTATTTTCAAACTTGATACATCGCAATATATCTGTCAACACATAATCAGAAGAAGATGAAATATGTCAGACCACTCCTTCTGGTACCTTCCCCATAAAGGGTCAAGACGATCAATAAATGGTAATTGAATATCCAATTCTCTTTAAATTTCCAATATCCCAATATTTCTTCTTAAGCAAAATGTGGTGTAGAGATGGAATATATTGAACCACTGCTTCTGATACTCTAATATTTTTTATTAATACAAGACCTGTTGTAAATATGGTAGATAACGGACCACTCCTTCTGGTACCTCCCCCACAAAGGATCAACATTTAAAATAATTATAACTCTTATAAAATGTGAACAAAAAGTCCGATTATCTTCAAATTTCGCACACCAAATAAGTATCCGCATCTTTCTGGTACCTTCCCCACAATAGGTTCAAAATTTTTAATAACAAAACGTCATAAAATGCGAAATAAGCATTCGTTCGTTTTCATAATCTACATTCATTTCAATATCTCTTCCAGCAAAAGATTAGGTGTGAGGGCGATAGATATAGGCCTGATATCTTTCCAACAAGGGGTAAAGAATTTCTACCATAGTATGGAGGGTATATTAATTTTGTCATTCCGTTTGTAACACCTCGAATTATACATTTTAGGCCCCAGAAAGTACATATATTCTTGATCAGCATAAAATGCTCTGTCGATTTAGCGATGTTGGTCCGTCTATCCGTCTGTGGAAATCACTCTAGCTTCCAAAAGAATTGAAGTAGATTAATAAAATTTTACTCAAATGTATGTCTACAGGACTTTTGGTATTGAAAATGGGCCATACTGATCCACGTCTTCGTATAGCCCCATATAACGGTACCCCCGATATTCGATATTTTGATGATTTTATCGACAGCCTGTGACAGAAAAGCGTCTGTGCAGGTCCACGTCTTCGTATAGCCCCCATAGAACGGTACCTCCCGATATTCGGTATTTTAATGATTTTAGCGACATTATTCACCGGAATTGTTTCAAATTTGGTTTTTGAAGTTCGTAATGGATACTACAGCCTAAGACAGAAAATTATCTGTGCAGGTCCACGTCTTAGTATAGCCCCCATATAACGGTACCTCCCGATATTCGATATTTTGATGATTTTAGCGACATTATTCACCGGAATTTTCGCAATGGATACTACAGCCTAAGACTGAAAATTGTCTGTGCAGGTCAACGTCTTCGTATAGCCCCCCCGTACCTCCCGATATTCGGTATTTTGTTGATTTCACCGGAATTCTTTCAAATTTGGTATTTGAAGTTCCTAATGAATACCCCATATAACGGTACCTCCCGATATTCGGCATTTTGATGATTTTAGCGACATTATTCACCGGAATTGTTTCAAACTTGGTATTTGAAGTTCGTAATGGATACTACAGCCTAAGACAGAAAATTGTCTGAGCAGGTCCACGTCTTCGTGTATCCCCCATATAGCGCTACCTCCCGATATTCGGTATTTTGATGATTTTAGCAACATTATTTCCCGGAATTCTTTCAAATTTGGTATTTGATGTTCATAATTGATTATACAGCCTATGATAGGAGATTGTCTGTGCAGGTCCACGTCTTCGTATAGTCCCTATATAACGGTACCTCCCAATATTCGGTATTTTGACTTTATAGACATTATAACCGATTTTTTTAAGTTTCGCATTTGAATATTGTAATGGCTTAAGGCAAATGTTACCTACGCAGGTTCATGTCGTCGTATAGACCCTAATATAATAGCTACATTTGGCATTTTTAAGATTTTAACATAATTTTTAACGGATTTTATTGTTTTTGAGAATTGCCAAAATCCTTCCAAGTATTGGAACTTACAACTTTTTTACTTCCTTTTTTTAAGTTTCCTTAAATTCTTTACAAGTCTCTCTCTACAACACCCTTCTAAAGGGGGGTTTACAAAATAACATGCCTTCCTAAAGGTCTTCGTTATATGTAACATCATATCTTTGTGTATATGAAAATACCTTCAACAGATGTAAATCCCCTTAAATGTGTAATCTTAAGGTATTACATACTTACAACAGCGTTCCACTCCCCTTCCCTTAAGTTATTCACAATTTGTAATATTTCGTAATTAATTAACATAAGTGGTGATTCTCTTAAATTATGAAGAACCTTATGGTAATCTACTATTTACAATCACATGGATGTCATAAATGCCATATGCAATAAACAACAACTACAACAAAAGCAACAACTCATAACATTAACTGTCAATTAAGGAAATGAAAAAGAATATTTGAATTTGTTCTACACATTAATTTCTCCGCATTGATATCCAGTTAAATATTTTTTTTTTTTGGGGGGACAAAGAAAGGCCATTGACACCATTGTTACCCACCCTATCTCGAGCACACATTCACACACACAAACATTCAATATTGTACTTGGAATCGATTCTTGTTCTTCGATTTTAGTGCAAAACACAAAAATTTCTTATGAATTGTCTGTCGTTAAGTTTGTCGCTTTGTTGGTTTGTAGGTCAATCAATTTATGTAGCTTTTTTTTCGATCGACTTCGATTTCATCTCTTCGACGGACGCATTTAAGCAGCCAGCCAGTTGACCGTTGCACTTTAAACATAGCGGCTGTTAGTTAGTTATTGTTATTTGATTCGTAAGCTATATTGCTCGTGTTGTACTGGGTCTGTGTGTACGAAGAAAAATCCGCTAACCAAAAAAAAAAAACATGACCAGTGAAATTCTTTCCAAGCAATGTGTGATAATTGGCGGATTTTCTATTGCCCTATGTTTGGTGTTCATAATCATCGAAGTTCAAGATTTGCGTAGCAGCTTGGACTCAGGTAAACATTGGCAGTGGTAATAGTTATCCGGAGGACAGAAATTATATGGAGAACATAAAAATGAAAAGTTGTGTGTCAAGAAAGATAGTGTGTGAAAAATTCATAACGATGCGTTGAAATTAAATGTTGCCAATATTCTCCTCTTAAAACTTCTGTGAAAAAATCGGCACGGCTCGTTAATGTAGCGGCCACTCCTTGCTCATTTTCGAAGAAAAATGGAATTAATCTGCAAATCAGGTATGATTTGCACCCCATTCAGGAAATAAGCACTAGTAGAAATATGTTAAAAAGCAGTAAGTTGTTAAAATCTTAAAAATAACAAATGCAGCCGTCATATTAGAGTCTAAGCGATAACGTGGATCTGCATAAGCAACTTTTGTCATAAGCCACTACAATATTCAAATGCGAAACAATATAGAGAGGTACTTTTATATGGGGGCTATACCAAAATGTGGACATGCACAGACACTTTTCTGGCATAGGCTTTAGTATCCATTTCGAACTTCAAACACCAAATTTGAAACAATTCCGAAGAATAATGTCGCTAAAATCATCAAAATACCGAATATAGGGAGGTACCGTTATATGAGGGCTATACCAAAACGTGGACCTGCACAGACAATTTTCTGTCTTAGGCTGTAGTATCTATTTCGAACTTCAAATAACAAATATGAAAAACCTACATGGCCCATTTACGGACTTAACCTGCCTACTGTAAAAATAAACCTGTGCGCAAAATTTTAGCCTTGTATCTCAATTCGTTCGAAAGATAGCGTGATTACAACAGACAGACAGACGGACAGACAGACAGAGAGACAGACGGACAGACAGACGGACATCGCTAAATCCACTTAGAATTTTACGCTGATGAAGAATATATATACTTTGTTGTGTCTGACATGAGTATTTCAAGGAGTTACAAACGGAATGACAAAGTTAATAGTATGGTGGAGGGTATAAAAAGTCCTGCAGACATAATATACATTTGAGTAAAATTTTATCAATCTACTTTAATTCGTTCGAAAGCTAGATTGATTTCCACAGACGGACAGACATAGCTATACCGATATAGAATTTTATGCTGATCAAGAATGTAAATATTTTGTGGGGTCTAAAAAGTTTATTTCGAGGTGTTATAGACGGAATGACAAACTTAATATACCCTCCATACTGTGGTGGAGGGTATAAAAATATATATCGGAGCCGAGTTTCACAAAATGGAAACGTACATCCCGAAATTCACTCTATTTGGGGTGATATTGGCCATTGTTGGCACAATAAATTTGAAATCGGATTCAGTATATATATATGGAGCTATATCCAATTCTTAGCCGTTCTCTAAGTCTAAATTCGGTCAGATATGCCAAAATTTAGATCATTTGAAGTGATTTTGGCTATTTGGTGCACAATTAATCCGAAATCGGTTGAGGATATATATGGGAGCTATATCCAAATCTGTACCGATCTTGACAATATTTGATACACTTCTTTCAGAGCTGTATCTGTTATCTGGTACCAAAGTTTATTTTTGTGGAATGCTTATTACGCTTGTGAGCGGCTTTAAACCGCAAATAAAACATGTGTATGGGAGCTATAGATATATCTGAACCTTTGTCAAAATTCTGTCCATTTGGGCTGATATTGGCCATTTGGTGTACAATAAACCTGATATTGGATTAAGATGGGTGCCATATTGTAATCTCAACCGATCTCGACAGATAGAGGTATTTTGGAGCAGTATCTGATGTCTGGTCCAAATATCATTCTTCTGGAGTTCATATAACGTAAGTCATAAGTCCCTCACATACTTAAAACCTCAAATCGGGTTAAACATATATATGGGAGCTATAGCTATATCTGAACCGATTTTCTCCCAATTTGATTTACTTGCTTCTAGACTGAAGTGGGTGGGATGTACCAAAATACAGACCATTTGGGGCACAATTAATGCGAAATCGGTAGAAGATTTATATGGAAGCTATACCTAAATCTGATCCGATTATCACCAATCTCAATAGGGTTCGTCCTTGGGCCAAACAAACATTGTTTGCAAAATTTCATCTCAATCGGATAATAAACGCTTTGTTCACAAGAATATATGAACGAACGGACGGACAGACAGACAGGCATGCATAAATCGACTCAGAAAGTGATTCTATGAAGATGCTCAAAGTAACTATGGGTCTATCTCGCTTACTTCTCCATGTTACAAACAAATATACAAAGACATGCACAGATGGTGTAGGGTATATGGCCTAAAAAGACCTCTTTGTTGACTCGGTTGTGGATTAAAGTTTTCAACCGAAATATTGCTCGTATTTTGATCTGCAATATTGCTGAAGGCACTTTATATCTAAATTCGCTGATTCCGAGGAATCCTATAGGGAAATTTTCAAACATGTGGAAGAGGGGAGAACTTTCCTCCTTTGTTTAGGTTACTTTGCGATGTAAACTTTGAAATTGCCCATACAAGTTTCTTCTTTTTTTAGTTTTTATTTATAATCATTTTTTGCCGCAGACATTTTTAGAAGGGAATACCACATTTTCCAATGAAATTGCCTATTTGTCGTTATCTTTTAATATTTTTCCGAATTTATCAATATATTGGGACACATATTCGATATACTTAAAAAATCGTGCAAAATATGAATGTTTTTTAGTTAATTTTCGATTTCTTTTTCATTTTCAATTAATGCAGTTACCTATCCCATAGAACCATGGACTGTTCCAAAAACTTCTATATTAACTACGCTAAAATGTGTAGGTTTTTTAAACAATGTGTACATTTAGTTCACTTTCAAATAAACCTCATACATCTGGAACCAATATTTTTCAAATACCCACGATCTCTAAAAATTAAAAAAATAAAGCATCGGTGGTTGGCTCCAGTGGAACAACTAAATACATAAAATTTGTACATCTTAGGTTTCTGTATGTTTTTGGTCCATTTTATTCTTGAAATAACATCTCAGAGGACTTCTTAAGCCATGTTAGATGTTATTGTGGTTTTTGATCGGAATCACAAAACCATGCAAAATGTCGTGGAAATTCCCCTACATTTACGACATCTGTCATGCTAATGAATATTCAAGTTTATCTTTTGCTATATTTTCAATATCTGAATATATAGCTCAGCGAAATCAGCATGAACGTAAGGGTATGATATTGTCTTTTCATGTATTTGAGATTTCGCCATTGAATCGAATTGAAAGGAAATTTTGGTATTTGCTATTATGTTCAAAATTCTTGGCCCGTTTCGACCGCTAAATATTATCCGATGACCATCAAATTGTGGGCTTCTTCTCTATAGCGATTGAAAATCTTACTTTTTGGTCCATTTAAACCTTTATCTCCAAAAACAGAATATATCTATAAAATAGATACCTTACTCTAAATCCATTCAAAATGTTGTGAAGATCGATCCATAACTGCGACCTGAACAATGAATGACGAGACGAGATATGACACACCACGTAGTGTTGTAGGATACAAATTTAAAAATCGGATCATATTGCAAACTTATTTAATGTTTTTGAAGGATTTATGACATCTTCCAACTGATTTGTATACCCTCCACCACAGTATGGGGAGTATATTAAGTTTGTCATTCCATTTGCAACACCTCGAAATATCCATTTTAGACCCCACAAAGTATATATATTCTTGTCGATTTAGGGATGTCCGTCTGTGGAAATCACTCTAGCTTCAGAACGAATTGAAGTAGATTGATAAAATTTTACTCAAATGTATGTTATGTCTGCAGGATTTTTGCTATTGAAAATGGGCCACGTAGGTCCACGTTTTGATGTAGCCCTCCTATAACGGTACCTCCCGATATTCGAAAATTTGATTAGTTTAGCGACATTATTCACCGGAATTTTCTCAAATTTCGTAAGGGATACTACAGCCTAAGACAGAAAATTGTCTGTGCAGGTTCAAGTCTTCGTATAGCCCCCATATAACGGTACATCCCGATATTCGGTATTTTGATGATTTTAGCGACATAATTTGCCGGAATAGTTTCAAATTTGGTATTCAAGTTCGCAATGGATACTACAGCCTAAGACTGAAAATTGTCTGTGCACGTCTTCGTCTTCGTATAGCCCCTATATAACGGTACTTCCCGATATTCGGTATTTTGATGATTTTAGCTACATTATTAACGATTTTTTTAAGTTTCGCATTTGAATATCGTTATGACTTATGACAAATGTTACCTATGCAGGTCCATGTCGTCATATAGACCCTAATATAACACATACATTCGGTATTTTTAAGATTTTAACAGAATTTTTAACGGATTTTATTGTTTTTGAGAATTGTCAAATTTGTTCCAAATGGTGGAGGTATTCAAAGTTCAGCCCGGCAGAACTTACAGCTTTTTTAATTGTTTTGTTTTTTTTTTTTGGTTATTTTAAGCAACTTTTGCCCTTAAATTTGTCATCCATATGACATTCCCCCTTATCGACCGATTCTTGATTCAAAGTCGTGCTTTTAACAAAAGAATGTAGAGCCTTAAACAATTTGTTCAAAGATTTTTGGAATAGTCATACTTTTCTCCATTTTCTGTTATCCTTTTAAGATAAAATATTTTCATTTATTTGCAGATGAGGAATACCACTCGGATCAGTTCCAAAGAAAAATAATTCAAATTATTGAATATGCCGTTGGTATTCTGCTATCAGTCTCATTAATTTTGGGAGCCATTAAGGTATATCCTACATTTTCCCATTCAAACATATTTACATCTCAAATTTACGTCGATTTTGTTTTTATTATAGAAACGACTATTATTTTTAACCATCTGGCTATTGGCAGCCCTTGCCGCTACGATCTTTGCAGCGTATCTGGGCATATCCATGTTGTTACTAGTTCCCATGTTTGGCATGGAAATGCTTATACCCATTTTGTTTGTGGTTGGTGAGTATCTATTTTCTTTATTTATTTAATTAAATTAAATTAATTCGTTTATTTTAGGCCTCACAACAATTATTTTATTCCCCGTCTGTTCATTATTCAAAGAAATTTGTCTTGAAATTTGCAGAGCTAGAAAACAGAAAAAATACGATAATGAAATCATGAATGAAAAGCCTGTCTTTGACACAAAGATGGAAGTTTTCAAAGAGGTGTGAAGAGAGAGTAGTGTCTCATTTAAAATTTAGAAAATTTTAACTAGATGATGCTATGACTTGCGAAAAAAACATTTTTTATATAAACAAGAAATTTGCTATTTATATATATGAAACTGCACAGGTGCAGAAAAATAAACATAGTATTTTATTTTTATACCCTACAACACTATGTGTTGGGGGTATTATAAGTTTGATTGGGCCAAAAATTATGTAACACCTCGAAATATTGATTTCCCATATAGGAAAGTATATATGGATCTTCCTAGCTGGCCGAGCTGAGTCGATCTAGCTATGTATGTCCGTCCGTCCGTCTGTCCGTCTGTCCATGTTAATTTGTAATCACTCTACAGGTCGCAATTATGGCCCGATCCTTACGAAATTTTGCACGAAGGTGGGGTTAGGGTCAGAATAGAACCCTATTTCTTTTGGAGATGATCGCCAAATGTTTAGGGGTTGAAATGGACCAAATACTGAAAAAATGTCGGATTTTGCAGTAGCAATACAGGTCGCAATTATAGACCAATCGATGCGGAATTTCGCATGTAGCTAGAGTTAAGGGCGGGGAAGAAGCCTACCAATTTGAGTGGTCATCGGATAATATTTAGCGGGTAAAATAGAGCATATATTTTGTGTTGAAAAAATTCAACATTTTTCATTAAACCGCGAATATTTTAAATCCCGGCGAAATCACAAAGCTATGACAAGGTTACTTCTGATCTTTACATTGATGTTAACATCCAAGAAATCAGATATATAGCAAAATATGTGCGATATATATGTTTATCAAAGAAGATATGCTTGAAAAATCTCTTATATGTCGAGAACGGCTGAACTGATTTCGACAGTTCTCATTAATTCAGAATGGCCTCTTGGCAGGAAAGAAAAAACGTCTAAAAAATCGCATAAAAATATCTCTCTAAAGATGAAAATATTGATTTTTTAAAATTTTCTCATATTTTTTCAATTTTTGTCATATTTTTGGCATATTTTCATTTTGAATTAAACATTTGGTAATATTTCTACAGCTAACAAAACTAAGTAGTTGGGATATCAGGATATCATATACAGATCACATTTATGGCCCGATCCTAACGAAATTTTGCATGGGGATCAGATGAGGGTCAGAGATGATCGCCATATATTTAGGGGTTGAAATGGACCAAAAAAATGCAAAATTGTCAGCAGGTCGTAATTATCGCCCGATCCTCAGGCACATTTGAATGGGGGTTACCGGGCATTGCAAAAGCCAAGCAGTTTTGGATGGCCATCCAAAAATATTCAATGTGCGAAATAGTTTGCTAACTTTTGTAGACAAAATACGAAAATGTTCATTCCAGTGACTCTTTGGAGAATTCACAAATACAGGAAAGACGCACTTCTGACTATTTCATTAACGCTGATTTCGTGGAAGAATATAGTCAAATGTCTGTATCTCATATAGATGCGTTTCAGTCAAAAACCAATAAAATGTTAATCTTTTGCCACTTCTCAGAGATTATAGGTCTTTGGGAAATATTGGTTCCAGATCTAGAAAGACCATTTACGTGCAACATCTACCAATAAATTGGAAATGAGCAAATTAGTTTAAGTTGCTATTATTCGAAAATTAGAGAACGGAACCTGATGGTTTTCTTTTATTATTTGTCACCATATCTTGTGGAATTCTTTCAAGTATCTCGCCTATATAAACTGTATCGTTTATTATAGTGTTGTAGGGTATTCAACGGTCGGCACCGCTCGACTGTAGCCTTTGCTTACTTGTTTTTTTTATCAATTTATTTATTTTCAATTTATATGAGGAGACTTAGAATTAATCTTCATTGTCAAAAGAGATTTGTATGACACTACAGGGTGAGAGAAGAAATTAAAGAAAAACAAGGTCAAACGCCATAATTTTTACATTTTTTTTAGTTTTATGAAATGAAAGCAAAAAATGTTGGAAATGGGATCGAATTTTAGAATAAGTTTAGATTTGTTCGAATTGGTCACCTTTGGCACGAATTATGGCCTTCAATCGGCCAATGAAACCGTCACACGCTGCCCGAATGTTGCTCTGCGGTATTTTGGCCCATTCCCGGCGAAGCGCTTGCTTGAGGTGATCGACACTTTGGTATTTTTAGTGCCAACCTTACTTTTCAAAATTCTCCAGACACAATAGTCCAACGGATTGGTATCCAAAGATTTTGGTGGCCATTGTGTGCTGGAAATGAAGCGAGAAAACTAACTTTGTAACTATTCTTGGGTGCCGCGTGCTAAGTGCAATTGTACTGAGTCCTATTGGAATGTCCAAGGCTTTAATACTCCCTCCAGTATATTTTCGCGAAAATATTTGGCTTTTATTCTGATGCAACGGTCGATTAATACGAGCGGAGAGCGATCATCAGCTGTTATGGCGGCCCATACCATCACCATAGCTGGCGCTTGAGATCTGGAGGCCAACCCAAGGTGTACATTTTCAGCTGACCTAAACACGATCATTTTGTTTGTTTACAAACTGCTGGACAACGAATGTTCTGTCATCGGAGAAACCCGAATTCGGCAGTTCATCACTTTTGGCCAAGCGAAGCAACTCTTTAGCTCTTTTAAGTCTATTTTCTTTATGTTGCGGTGTAAGTTCTGGCACTTTTTGGAATTTCAAAGGCTTTACCACCAGCCGAATGGAATATTTCGATACCTTCAGCTAGCGAGCCATTTTTCGGTCACTGCGACGCGGGTTTCGTTCAAGTCGCTTCTTTACTTTTCGAACCATTTCTGCTGATGTTGCGGTTTTCTTCCGTCCACTTCCTGGACGTCGGGCTACTGGTAGCGTAGCCACGGTAACGTGCGATGGTACGAGACACAAAAGATTTATTCACATTTAAATGCTGGAGTGCTCTAACGATAGCCACTTGTGGTTTTCCAAACCAAATACAAAGAAATTACACTATCACGCTTGAATTCCATCACGAATAACTTTTTTTTTGGAAAATTCTCACCAAAATGCTTTTGTACGTTTGTAAACAATATAATAAGCTATCACTGGAATAATTTTAACAGCTGCCGGACGTGTGCCGTAGAAATGACATCAGTCTGAAGTTGTTTGCAGTTTTTCATCTCACCCTGTATTTATTTTATTTTATTTTTATACCCTCCATCATAGTATGGAGGGTATATTAGGTTTGTCATTCCGTTTTTAACACCTCGAAATATACATCATTCTATGTCGATTTAGCGATGTTCGTCCGTCTGTCCTTCTGTGGAATCACTCTAGCTTCTGAACGAAATTAAGAAGGTTGATAACATTTTGCTGAAATTTATAATATCTCTTCAGGACTTTTGATATTGAAAATGGGCCATATAGCTCCACCGAATTTAATGGCTTGTAATAAAAATTGCCTCGTAAAAATTAGGGTCTATTACAATTTACTTTTCGTATAGCCCCCATATAATTGTACCTTCCTATTTTCGTTATTTTGGGGGTTTAGGCGACATTATTCAGTGGAATTGTTTCAAATTTGGTATTTGAAGTTCGTAATGTTAACTAGCCCCCATAAAACGGTTCCTCCCGATATTCGGTATTTTGATGATTTAGCGAATTTATTCACCGGAATTGTTTCAAATTTGGTATTAAAAGTTCGTAATGGTTACTACAGCCTAAGACAGAAAATTGTTTGTGCAGGTCCACATCTTCGTATAGGCCCCACGTATCAGTACCTCCCTATGTTAGGTATTTTGACGATTTTAGGTACAATACTCACCGAAATAGTTTGAAATTTTGTATTTGAAGTTTGTAATCGATGCTACAGCCTGTGACAGAAAATTGTCTATGCACGTCTTCGTATAGCCCCCCATATAACGGTACCTTCCGATATTCGGTATTTTGATGACTTTAGCGGCATTATTCACCCTATATTTCTAGTTTCGAACTTGAATATGGTAATGGCTTATAACAAACAATGCCTATGTAGGTCCACGTCGTATAGACCCCAATATAACGGCTATATTCGGTATTTTTAAGATTTTAAAAGAATTCTTAACGCATTTTATTTTTTGAAAATTTCCAAAATCGTTCCAAATGGTGGAGGGTATTCAAAATTCGGCCCGGCCGAGCTTACTGCTTTTTAACTTGTTTTTATTCATTTATTTAATTTTATTTTTATTATTATTATACCCTCCACCATAGTATGGAGGGTATATTAAGTTTGTCATTCCGTTTGTAACACCTCGAAATATACATTTTAGACCCCACAAAGTATATATATTCTTGATCAGCATAAAATTCTATGTCGATTTATCAATGTCCGTCCGTCTATCCGTCTGTCCGTCTGTGGAAATCACTCTAGCTTCCGAACGAAATGAAGTAGGTTGATAAAATTTTACTCAAATGTGTGCTATGTCTGCAGGACTTTTGGTATTGAAAATGGGCCATGTAGGTACACGTCTTCGTATAGCCCCCATATAACGGTACCTCCCGATATGCGGTATTTTGATGATTTTAGCGACATTTTTTACTGGAATTGTTTCAAAATTAATATTTAAAGTTCATAATAGATGCTACGGCCTAAGACAGAAAATGGGTCATGTAGGTTCTCGTCTTCGTATAGCCCCCATATAACGGTACCTCCCGATATTCGGTATTTTTATGATTTTAGCGACATTATTTACCGGAATTGTTTCAAATTTGGTATTTGACGTTTTTAATAGATACTACAGCATAAAACTGAAAATGGGCCATGTAGGTCGACGTCTTCGTATAGCCCCCATGTAACGGTACCCCCGATATTTGGTATTTTGATCATTTTAGCGACATTATTTAGCGGAATTGTTTCAGTTTTAGTATTTGAAGTTCGTAATGGATGCTACAGCCTATCACAGAAAGTTGTCTGTGCAGGTCCATGCCTTCGTAGAGCCCCCATATAACGGTACCCCTCCCCCATTTTCGGTATTTTTATGATTGTAGCGACATTATTTACAGGAATTGTTTCAAATTTCGCATTTGAAGTTCGTGAAGTTCGATATTACAGCCTATGACAGAAAATTGCCTGTACATTATAAACAGATTTTTTTTTCAAGTTTCGCATTTGAATATTGTAATAGCTCGTGACAAAAGTTGCCTATGCAGGTCCACATCGTCGTATAGACTCTAATGTACGGCTACATTAGGTATTTTCAAGATTTTAACAGATTTTTAAGGGATTTTATTTTATTTTTTTTTTTTTTTTGAAAATTGTTAAATTTGTACCAAATGGTGGAGGGTATTCAAAGTTCGGCCCGGCCGAACTTACAGCTTTTTTACTTGTTTTTTTCTGTGCACTAATCTCTTTATCTCATATGTTAAACAAACCCTTTATTTAAATTAAAATCCAACTCTTTCTTTATTAAGTCGTTGATACATTCTGCATTTCAGGATTATCTCTCCAATCAAAAGCTCAACCATAAACTGTCACCTGGCGTCTACGTTTTGCAGCATTTTCTTTGCGGATTTGATGCATTTCAATAAAGATGGGATTCAGAAAGGCAAAACCAGCTGTAATATTGTAACACGAAAATACCTAAGTATTTGTAAAAAATAAATGTCTCAAAAGAAGTCACACATACCGCCCAATACAGCTATACACCTTTCTTTTGAGTCCAACCAGTTCTCCTTGTAAAACATGCCAAAGGCAATCGTGGAAAATACGGGCACCATGAGATATACATTTCTCTAAAAAACAACAATTAAAATATAAATTCTTTAAATTTAGAAAAATATATTGGAGTATATAATAAGTATACCTTAAATATGCCCCAAATCATGAGCACTGTAAAAAGCGCACTTACAAAGGAATATCCAACAAAAATGTATAAATCTGCAAAGAGAGGAGATCAAATTTATTATCTATTCAAATAGATGTCATGCTACAAATATTTCGTTACGACACATTTTCTGTTTTGACTGTTGTTAGGCAACAGTTGTATTTACCATTGTCCTATTTCCCCAAAAATGGATCTTCACTTTCCGTTTTATTCATGGATTGTTTATGCAAATAACTCCAATTATCAAAACTACCAACTCTGAATAGCAGAAAACCTAGTGCCAAAATAATGCAATGCCAAGACAAAGGACTCAATCCCATTTTGACTTCGGCAAAAGAAAAAAAAACGCAATAGTTGTTTTAGATGTTTCGAAATATAAACTGACTTACATTTTTTAAAATTCTTTCCACATTGCATATTGTTTGAAATGTCGAAATAAAACCGATAAACTATGAACTTTCAGTTTTGCTATAATTCTTTGTTCTTTCAAATAAATGCGATGTGTCAATTGTCATTTCAAACCCATTGATAACAACACTGGCTTTGATGACCAACGACAGAGAGATGTAAGATCAGGGTGTTGTTATGTAGGATACTATCAAGATTATCAAATTAAAAAGCAGTAAGTTCGGCCGGGCCGAACTTTGAATACTCTCCACCATTTGGAAAGAATTAGGAAATTTTCAAAAAAAAAAAAAAAAAAATAAAAATAAATAAATAAATAAAATAAAATCCATTAAAAATTCTGTTTAAATTTTAAAAATACCGAATATAGCCGTTTTAATGGGATCTATAAGACGTGGACCAACATAGGCATTGTTTGTCATAAGCCATTACCATATTCAAATTCGAAAACTTGAAATTAACGGTGAATAATGTAGCTAAAATCATCAAAATATCGAATATAGGGAGGTACCGTTATATCGCTGTGCGAAGACCTGGACCAGCATAGACAATTTTCTGTCATAGGCTGTAGCATCCATTACGAAGTTCAAATACGACATCTCTAACAATTTCGGTGGGTATTGTACCTAAACTCGTCAAAATACCGAATATACGGAGGTACTGATGAAATCATCAAAATATCGAATATTGGGAGGTACCGTTATATGGGGGCTATACGAAGAAGTGGACCTGCATAGACAATTTTCTGTCTTAGGATGTAGTATCCCTTTCGAACTTCAAATACAACAAGTAAAAAAGCTGTAAGTTCGGCCGGGCCGAACTTTTAATACCCTCCACCATTTGGTACAAATTTGACAGTTTCCAAAACAATAAATAAAATCCGTTAAAAATTCTGTTAAAATCTTAAAAATACCGACGACGTGGACCTGCATAAGCAACTTTTGTCATAAGTTATTACAATATTTAAATGCGAAACTTGAAGAAAAATCTGTTTATAATGTAGTAATACCGAATATAGGGGGTACCGTTATATGGGGGCTATACGAAGACGTGGACCTGCACAGACAATTTTCTGGCATGGGCTGAAGTATCCATTACGAACTTCACATGCGAAATTTGGAACAATCCCGGTAAATAATGTCGCTAAAATCATCAAAATACCGAATATCGCGGGGTACGGCATATGGGGGCTATACGAAGACGTGGACCTACATGGCCCATTTGCTGTTTTATGCTGCACCATCTATTACGAACTTCAAATGCCAACATTGAAACGATTCCGGTAAATAATGTCGCAAAAATCATCAAAATACCGAATATCGGGGGGTATGGTATATGGGGGCTATACGAAGACGTGGACCTACATGGCCCATTTTCTGTTTTATGCTGCAGTATCTATTACGAACTTCAAATATCAAATTTGGAACGATTTTGTTAAATAATGTCGCTAAAATTATAAAAATACCGAATATCGGCGGGCTACCGTTATGTAGGGGCTATACGAAGACGTGGACCTACACAGATTATTTTCTGTCTTAGGCTGTAGTATCCATTACGAACTTCAAATGCCAAATTTGAAACAATTCCGGTGAATAATGTCGCTAAAATCATCAAAATACCGAATATCGGGAGGTACCGTTATATGGGGGCTATATGATAACTTGGACCTACATGGCCCATTTACGAACTTAACCTGCCTACTGGCAAAATATACATGTGTGCAAAATTTTAGCCTTCTATCTCAATTGGTTCGAAAGATAGCGTGATTACAACAGATAGACAGACAGACAGACAGACGGACAGACAGACAGACACACAGACAGACAGACGGACATGGCTAAATCGTCTTAGAATTTTACGCTGATCAGGAATATATATACTTTGTTGGGTCTGACATGAGTATTTCGAGGAGTTACAAACGGAATGACAAAATTAATATACCCTCCATAGTATGGTGGAGGGTATAAAAAAAAGACCAATGATTTTTAGACTTGCTCCAATATAGGCCAAACTAACTGTATAATTTTGAACTATTGTTGAGCAGACACAAAATTTCTTTTATTAATTTTGTCAATTTTAGCAAAGTTTTCCAAGTTTCAACAGATATTGCCCAACTCAGCTCTGCTCCTTCATTTGGTACAAATATTCCATGTACTAAGTTTAGAACAATTCCTTCGATATTTAGCGAGTGCACCAGCCGTCCGGACAGACATGAAACGACATAGGTCGATTTAAATGTCTTCTTTCTCCAGATACTTTTTTCCAAGTTTTCATAAAATATTCATGTTCTGATATTTACAATATTCACCATTCTTTCTGTCTCATCTCAGAAAGAAAATATACAATTACATTAAAATTTTTCAAATTTATTTGATTTTTCCCTGAATATCGTTGTTACGGAGTGCATATTATGGCTGTGGGTAACAAATCCAACAAATCGGATGAACAATATATATGGGAGCTACAGCTATATCTGAACCGATCTTCACCAAATTTGACATACTAGCTTCTAGACTCAATTCGGTCGTATGTGCAAAATTCCATCCAATTTGGGCAAATATTAGACGTTTGGTGCACAATCAAAGGTTAATCGGACGAAGTTATGTATGGGAGCTATATCCAAATCTGAATCGATCTCGATAAAAATTAGCAAATTTATTTCTGAGCTGCATTTGATATATTTCCCCAAATAGTATTGTTATAGAGTGCATATTACGGCTGTGGGTGACAAATATAACAAATCGGATGAACAATATATATGTGAGCTATAGCTATATCTCTGAACCGATTTCGATCAAATTTGGCATACTTATTTTCAGGCCTAATTTGGTTGTATGTTCCATACTATTCGGACTGATATTACACGTTTGGTGCACAATAAAAGCCAAATCGGACGAAGATATATATGGGAGCTATATGTAAATTTTTTCCGATTATCTCCAATTTCAATAGGGTTCGTCCTTGGGGTGAACAAATGATTTGTGCAAAATTTCATCTGAATCGGGCAAAAAATGCGAACTGTACTATGTTTACAAAAATGCATGGACAGACGGACGGACATGCATAAATCGACTCAAAATGTGATTCTATGCAGATCATCTAAAGGAACTATGGGTCTAACTCGTTTCCTTTTGCCTGTTACAAACAAATGCACAAGGACATAATACCCTGACCACTTGTGGTGTAGGGTATAATGAATAATTTTTTTTTATTAAATTGTTTTATTAAATCGCTGGTACGTTGCATTACATTACATGATTATCGCCATTCACAATCTCAACCATAAACTGTCACCTGGCGTCTACGTTTTGCAGCGTTTTCCTTACAGATTTGATGCATTTCAATGAAGATGGGATTCAGAAGCACAAAAGCAGCTGCAATAAAAAAAATAATATTTTTTTATAAAAATTATTTCTTTTTCAAACCATCACCTACCTCCCAATACAACCATCCACTTGTCCATTGACTTGAACCAGTCCTCACTGTAAAACATGCCGAAACCAATGGTGAAAAATACGGGTACCATGAGATATACATTTCTCTAGAAGAATAATTTAAAAAAAAATCTTTAAATTTAGGAAATTAATTTTAAGATGAAATAAATATACCTTGAATATGCCCCAAATCATGAGAATTGCAAAAAGCATAGCTGCAAGGGAATAACCGACAAAAACATATGAATCTGAAAAAGGGAGCGAAAAAATAACCAACTGCTACGAAAATAAAGTTGAGGTTCCAAAGTATATGTAGTGTTAAAATATTTTAAAAATATCAAATTTCAAAAGTGGTTTATTTACAGTTATGTTATAGTTATCGTTATATTTACCAAACTCTGATTCATCATCTATTGGATCTTCACTTTCCGTTTTGTTCATGACATGTTTTTCCAAGTTTTTCCAGTCTTCATCAAAACTATAGACATTGAATAGAAGGAAAGCTATGGCCAACACAATACAATGCCAAGACAAAGGACTCAATCCCATTTTGAGGTTCGGCAAATTAGACAATACCAATTGAAGAGGTTTTAAAATCTAAACTGAAATCGATTCTTCAAAATTCTTTGCAAATAGCATCTTCTATCAAATATTAGAAAATTAGAAAAAAATTCAATACCTTGGCGATAAACTCTGAACTTTAATTTTCGCTACATTTCTTTGTTCTCCCGAAAAGAAATTGATATGTATTTTCGGAATGTTTGATTGAGCACACACAAATACTTTTAATGTTTATGAGCACTTGCACTTGTCATTCTGAGTCTGAGTGATAAGAACGGTGGGTTTGATGCCACATCAACAGACGCAAGTGGGAGAGAGATGGAACTAAACTCAATATCCAATTAGAGTACATGACTGTAATTGTACCCTCCACCTTGGAAAGGAGGGTATATTAACTTTGTCATTCCGTTTGTAACATCCATAAATATTCGTCGTAGACCCCATAAAGTATATATATTCATAATCAGCATAAAATTCTAAGACGATTTAACGATGTCTGTCTGTCTGTTGAAATCACGATACAACCCACATTATTTGACGTAGAGCGTCAAATAATAATAATATAATAATAATTTAACAGAGCAATTTGTATTGTGTCTAGGATGGTTAGTATTGAAAATCAGATATATTGGTCCACGTTCTGGTATAGTCCCATATAACGGTACCTTCCGATATTCGGTATTTTGCTTATTAATGCCACATTTTTTCACGGATTTGTCTGAAAATTGGTACTTGTAGGTCATAATGGATCCCTGTGCGTGTGGCAAAACATTGCATGTATGGGTCCAGGTTTTGGTATAACCCCCATATAAAGGTAACTCCCGATATTCTGTATTTTAATTTTTTTTTTTGCCACATTTTTTCACGGATTTTTCTAAAAATTGGTATTTGTGGGTCATTATGGGTTCTAGTTCGTGTGGCGTAACATTGTATGTATAGGTCCACGTTTTGATATAGTCCCCATATAACGGTACCTCCCAATATTCGGTATTTTGATAGTTTTCGCCACATTTCTTCTAATGTTTCCTTTAACCTAAGGTGGAGGGTATTAAAAGTTTGGCCTGGCCGAACTTAATGTTTTTTTTACTTGTTTTTAATTTCGATTAAAAAAGATTTAAAATTTAAACAATGTTTGAACATTTTTGCCCAAATTCAGCTTCAGAAAAAATAGCGAACGTAAGAACTCTTCGTAGTTTTATAAAATTTTGTAATTTTATAAATATAATTATATGTATATTCCTTCCTTCTTTGGAGGGCATATTAACGTTGATTCGGTTTGTAACTCTTCGAAATATTCACGATAGACGCTACAAAGTATACAGGGTGAGATGAAAATACTGTAACCAACTTCAGACTGCTGTCATTTCTACGCCACTCGTCCGACAGCTGTTAAAATTATTCCAGTGACAGCTCATTATATTGTTTACAAGCGTACAAAAGCATTTTTGTGAGAATTTTCCAGAAAAAAAGTTATTCGTCATGGAATTCAATCTTTATAGTGTGATTTCTTTATATTTGGCTGGAAAACCACAAGTGGCTATCGTTAGAGCACTCTAGCATTTAAATGCGAATGAATATTGTATGTCTCGTATCATCGCTCGTTACCGTGATACTGGTAGCGTAGCCCGACGTCAAGGAAGTGGACGGAAGAAAACAGCAACATCAGCAGAAATGGTTTGAAAAGTAACGAAGCGACTGGATCGAAACCAGCGTCAAAGGGTCCGAAAAACGGCTCGTGAGCTGAACATATCGCAATATTCCATTCGAAAAATATTGAAAAATGGGCTCGGGGTAAAGCCATTGAACTTCCAAAAAGTGCAAGAACTTACACCGCAACAGAAAGAAAATAGACTTAGAGCTAAGGAGTTGCTTCGCTTGGCCGAGAGTGGTGAACTGCCGAATTTGGTTTTCTCCAGCTGAAAATGTGTACCTTCGGTTGGCCACCAGAACTCAAGCGCCGGCTATGGTGATGGTGTGGGCCGCCATAACAGCCGATATTCGCTCTCGTATTAATCGACCGTGGCATCGGAATAAATGACGAATATTATCGCGAAAATATTCTGGAGGGTGTATTAAAGCCTTGGGCACGCAAACATTTTGGCCGCTGACCTTGGACATTCCAAAAGAAAGGTTCCTCGCTTCATTTCCAGCGCACAATGGCCTCCGGATACCAAGTCGTTGGACTATTGTGTCAGGAGTATTTTGGAAAGCAAGGTGGGCACTAAAAAATACCAAAGTTTCGATCACCTCAAGTAAGCGCTTCGCTGGGAATGGACCAAAATACCGCAGAGCAACATTCGAGCACCGTATGAGGGTTTTATTGGCCGTAGGAAGGCCATAATTCGTGCCACAGGTGACCAATATTAACAAATCTAAATTTGTTCTAAAATTTGATGCTATTTTCGACATTTTTTGCTTTCATTCAATAAAATAAAAAAAATCTAAAAATTTTGGCGTTTGACTTTGTTGCAGGTTTTTTATCTCACTACCAGATTTCATAAATTTATTTTTAATATTAATGACGTCGAATGGCGAATATTGAAGATTTGGAGGGTTATATTGAATTCCATAAGCTTAGTTATACAATTTTATTTTATTTATTTTTTCAACAAAAAATCATAAAAATCGTACAAATTTGTTTTCCATTTTTTGTTCAATATTCACACGAACGTTTCTTACTATGAACGACATTAAAATTTCAAAAACCGTTTGGTATGGTTCCAACAAGAAGGTGTCGACATAAAAATCAAACGTACAAAATGTCTCCAAATATTGTTGGTGCTTTAGTTTTCCTTTCAGTTCCGTTTATTATATTTTGATTGAACCGTCTTCTCCTCAAGGATTTCCTTTCGCAATCCCACAGTTGGATTCAAAACGGCAAATACCAAACCTAAAATTTAAAATTATTTTAAGATAATTTATAATCTTAAGTACTTCTTACTTACCGCCATAAACGAGAAGATCTGCAATTAGTTTATAGTAGTTTTCTTGGAATTGTGAGATTTTGATGTAGTACATATAGCCGAGATACACAAAACCAACTATCCAAATGGGTATGAAGAGAAATGGACGTCTCTGTACAGAAGATAAATAGAAAAAAATATGTTACGTATGTAGGCATTATAGAAAAAAGAAAATTTTATTAAAAAATATTTACCGTAAATGCACTAGCCATCATAAGGAGAGAAGAAACAGCGGTCATTGCAAGGAAAAACATGTCCTGATAGTATTCTGGAAAAATAAGCAAAATAATATTAAACACAAGTTAAAAAGCAGTAAGTTCGGCCCGGCCGAACTTTGAATGCCTTCCACAACTTGGAACGTATTTGGAAATTAAAAAAAAAAAACATAAATAAATAAACAAATAAATAATTATAACATTTAAAAAAGTAAAATAGCAGTAAGATCGGCGCGGAAGTTTTTATACCCTCCACCATTCAGAAGGAACTTGAAAATTTAAAAAAAAAACGTCGACAAATACCGCTTGTATGAAAACCCTTATATGGGGCCTATATGAAAACGTGCTGCAAAAGTAATTTTTTGCCATAGGCTGTAGTTACAATTCCGAACTTCAAATACGAAATTTGAAACAATTCCGATGATTACAACCGCTAAAATCATGGAAATACCGAGTATCTGGGAATATCTCACCCCGGGGGTAAAGTACTCAGAGGGAATTCCCTGTGTGGATTTTAAGACAATTCCATTAATTCCATTCCATTTGGCTTCAATTATCAAAATACAGAATATCGGGAGGAACCGTTATGTAAGGGATATATGATATCGTGGATCTGTATAGACTCTTCTCTTCCAGGGGGTAATGTACTTACAAAAACACTTCTTAACACAGTTCGATTGGAAATGTGGCTAAAATCATCAACATATGGAATATCGGGGGTAACATTGGATGGGGGTTATACGATATCGTGGTCCTATATATTAAATCCTCTTTCAGGGGTTCAGGAAGAACTTCTTGTGTAGAATTTCAGAAAATTATATTAAAACAAGTAAGCAAAGGCTATAGTCGGGCAGGGCCGACCATGTGATACCCTACAATACAATAATATTACCTTAGCATTTTGACCAGGGACATTTGCTCAATACTTACGCACTCCGTCGTGCTGTTAGTTGTTGTGGTCCATTTTACAGCTAAATATAATCCAATGGTCATCCAAATTGCCAGAATCCTTCCCTGTGCTTAACTCCCTTCTCAGGCGTGTCGATTGGCTTCAATTGTGTGATCAGGATTTTTTTTTCTGTTTTTGGTTAATTTTAGCCCCTTAATATTTTGCGATCACCTCCAAAAGCAAGAACCCGCTCTGTATCTACAAATTTAGACTCATCTATATGATTTGCTTGTCTACGATATTTGGCTATATTCGTCAACGAAGTCAGCATAAATAAAAAGCCAGAAGTTCGCCTATTGTGTATTTCGGATGTCGCCTGTAAGTAATGTTCTACCCGCTCTCTTTGGTTTCTATTTGTGACCTTTATAACGGCTGCAAAATCAGGAACAGTTTGAGTTGCTGGTCCATTTCAACCCTAAATATATTGCGGACATCTTTGAAAACAATAGGCTTAGACCTTCTGAGCCTAACCCTACCTTTGTGAAAAATTTCGTGAGGTCGGACAATAATTGCAATCTGTATATAAATAATAACCTCAACTTGTGTTGTAAAGTGCAAAGATATTACAAAATGTACACTTCAATATTATAAGTCAAATTGAAAAAATCGCATGCGATAAAAAATATGAAAAAATAACAAAATGTCACAAAATACTACAAAATCTATATAAACATCATTATTGACATCTTTTTATGCGATTTTTTTTAGATTTTAAACTTTTATGCCAAAAGGCAAAATTTGTCAAAATCGCTACAGCCTTTCTGGAGATATAAGCATTCTAGCTAACATCCCCTTTCTTTTTATATATACATTGTATATATTTCGCCATATATATCCGATATTTTTAGTATCGGCATCTACGTAACGGCCAGAATTGACCTGTTCGTCTATTTGTGATTTCGCCGGCATTAAATGGTTTAATGGAAAATTTGACTTTTATTTATCACAAATCTATTTCAACCAGTAAATATTACCCGATGACCATCAAAATTGGAAGGTTTCTGCCCAGCCCTAAGCTCCAGCCCCATGCTAACTTCTAACTTTGATTGGTCTATAATGGCGACCTGTAGTGCAACTGAAAAATCAGGAATTTTTTCAATTTTTGGTCCATTTCAACCTCTAAATATTATGCGATCATCTCCAAAAGAAATATTCTGACCCTAGCTCCACCTCCATTCTAAATTTCGTGAAGATCGGGCCATAATTGGGACCTGTAGAGTGATTACAAATTAACATGGACAGACGGGCGGACGGACATACATAGCTAGATCGACTCAGCTCGTCGAGATAGGGAGATCCATATATATACTTTCCTATGTAGGAAATCAATATTTCGTGGTGTTACATAATTTTTGGCCCAATCAAAATTATAATGCCCCCAACACATAGTGTTGTAGGGTATAAAAATGTGGCTAATATTTTAAAAAATCCTAATCCTAAATCATGGCCTGCCTGCAGACAAATAACAGATTGGAGAAACATTTTAGTTTCCTACCTTTATTCGTTTTGACTCCAACTTGATTCCAATAGACGGACGGACAGGGCTAAATAGTCGTCGATTTTTTTTTTAATACCGAATATACGGATATATGGGCCTGCATAGACCATTTTTGTCATAGAATGTACTATCTATTAACAACTTCAAATACGATACGATACGAATTCCATTGAAAAATGTCGCTAAAATCATCAAAATACCAAATATAATGAGGTATCGATATGTGCGGGCTATACCTAAACGTCATCCTACACAGGTTGAAATAAAAAAACTGCAACAAAGTCAAATGCCATTATTTTTACATTTTTTTTTTTTTTAATTTCATTGAGTGTCGGAAATAGCATCAAATTTTAGACTAAGTTTAGATTTGTTCGAATTGGTCACCTTTGGCACGAATTATGGCCTTCAAAGGGCCAATGAAACCGTCACACGCTGCCCGAATGTTGTTTTGCGGTATTTTGGCACATTCCCGGCGAAGCGCTTGCCTGATGTGATCGACACTTTGGTATTTTTTAGTGTCAACCTTGCTTTCCAAAATATTCCAGACACAATAGTCCAACGTATTTGTATCCGAAGATTTTTGTGGGCATTGTGCGCTGGAAATGAACCGAGGAACCTCATTTTGTAACCATTCTTCTTCAGCACCATGGTGCTGAGTTCGATGGTGCTGAGTCCTGTTGGAATGTCCAAGGTCTGCGGCCAAAATGTTTGCGTGCCCAAGGCTTTAATATGCCCTCCAGAATATTTTCGCGATAATATTCGGCATTTATTCTGTTATGGCAGCCCACACCATTACCAGGGGCGGCGCTTGAGTTCTGGTGGCCAACCGAAGGTGCACATGTTCAACTGACCTCTTTGGCAAGTAAACACGATCATTTTGTTTACGTACAAACTGCTGGACAACGAATGTTTTCTCATCGGCCAAGCGAAGCAACTCTTTAGCTCTATTGAGTCTATTTTCTTTCTGTTGCGGTGTGAGTTCTTGCACTTTCTGGAATTTCAAAGGCTTTACCCCGAGCTCATTTTTCAATATTTGCCGAATGGAATATTGCGATATGTTCAGCTCACGAGCCATTTTCCGGCCACTGCGACGCAGGTTTCGACCAAAGTCGCTTCTTTAATTTTCTAACCATTTCTGCTGATGTTGCTGTTTTCTACCGTCCAGTTCCTTGACGTCGAGCTACGCTACCAGTATCAAAAAAGATTTAAATGCTGTAGTGCTCTAACGATAACCACTTGTGATTTTCCAGTCAAATATAAAGAAATCACTCTATCACACTTGAATTCCACCACGAAAAACATTTTTTTTTTTTGGAAAGTCTCACCAAAATGCCTTTGTACGCTTGTAAACAATATAATGAGCTGTCACTAGAATAATTTTAACAGCTGTCGGATTAGTGGCTTAGAAATGACATCAGTCTGAAGTTGGTTGCAGTTTTTTTTATCTCACCCCGTATAGCCCATGCTATTCCACGGAACCACAGATGGACAGACAGGTCATCGTTAAATCGACATAGAATTTTGTGCTGATCAAGAATATATATCGAGGTTTTACAAACGGAATGAAAAACTTAATATACCCTCCATACTATGGTGGAGGTTTTAAAAATACTATTTTTTATTTAATGCCAAATTTTAAGAATTTTCTAAATAAATATTACAATATTATTCAAATACATGCTTTCATACTTACCCCTCTCCCACTCATCGCCATTGCTCGCCTTAAAAGTCCAACGCTCATTTGTAAACAACATTGAGGCTATGCTGACTCCAAACAGAAATATGGCCATACCAATGCAGTGCTTCGAAAGGGGACTCAATGACATGTTTGTTATGTACGTAAATTTTGATGTCGTTGTTATGCCAAATGTGAATAAAACTGAGCTGTGGATATGAAAATTCTCAAATTTAAAATAGAATTTTATTAAAGAAGACAAAGCATAATCTAGTCACTCACTGATAACCTCTTGAGACACATCAAATTAAATTAATTGACATTACTAATGATTGCAAATTTATTTTTGTTTCGAATTTTGTGTGGTATTTATTTATATAAAATGTTAACACATTTTTATTATTCTAAAAATGGTCGCTATATTGTTTTTAGGTTCCATTCCACAACCCCATTCACTAATGATTAGATCTGCGATTGAATAGCAACCTTCTTTCCATATCATCATCGACATCAAATCTCATGGCTTTGAACAAAACATAAATCGGGTAGATAACCATGACTTGAAGGGCTGTAAAAATATTATACAAATTTCGAATTACTTCAAATTCAAGTGGCAATGAATTGTAAACTTAACTCACGCAATGACTTCATTCCATAAATAATTTCCTCGGGCAGTTCATGGCTGCTGTGCGATAGCCATGTCAATAAACGTTGAGCCAGATATGCGGCTATACTATAAAGTAGCCAGAATCCTACGAATAAACGGCATTTCTAAAACAACAACTAGGATTAGGGAAAAAGTCCAAAATATCAAAAATCTTCCCAAGGAGTTCTTTATGTACACTGAGATTCCAAAAGACAACATCAGGACACTTGCTTGGCTGGTGTGGATCATAATAGAGTATCTGACATGATTCAAGGTTTAGTCGTCATATTTCTATAAAACTAAGGACCATCTCGAAGATGGCGAATATCGACCACTTCTTTCGGTTCCCACCACATCAGAGATTAACATTAGCAAGTAACACGCAGTTGAGTTCGGGTGAGCCAAAATTTTATATTTAGTAGAGCTCCCGTAATAAAAAACGTTTATATTGGGAGTTTATGTGAAGTAGATCATACCAACTATGAAACTTATTTGAATGCAAATCAAGGCCTTAGAGTAGTAACCATTTGGGAACTATAACCAACTCTAAATCAATTTTTAACAAATTTGACGGAGACTTTTTTACATCTAGTACCAAATAGCAATGCTGTATAATGCATGATATGATATCGAAAATAATTATATTTAAAAATATTTATTGGGGCAATATATACAGGGTTAGATGAAAAAACTGCATCCAACTTCAGATTGCTGTCATTTCTAAGCCACTCGTCCGACATATGTTAAAATTATTCCAGTGACAGCTCATTATATTGTCTACAAACGTACAAAAGCATTTTGGTGAGAATTTTTCAGAAAAAAAAATTATTCGTGCCGGAATTCAAGCGTGATAGTGTGATTTCTTTATATTTGGCTGGGAAACGAAAAGTGGATATCGTTAGAGCACTCCAGAATATAAATGTGAATAAATCGTTTGTGTCTCGTACCATCGCTCGTTACAGCGATACTGGTAGCGTAGCCAGACGTCAAGGAAGTGGATGGAAGAAAATAGCAACATCAGCAGAAATGGTTCGAAAAGTAAAGAAGTGACTTGATTGAAACCCGCATCGTAGTGGTCGAGAAATGGCTCGTGAGCTGAACATATCGCAATATTCCATTCGGCAAATCAAGAAAATTGAGCTCAGGGTTAAGCCAATGAAATTCCAAAAAGTGCAAGAACTTAAACCGCAACAGAAAGAAAATAGACTCAAAAGATCTAAAGAGTTGCTTCGCTTGGCCGAAAGTGTTGAACTGCCGAATTTGGTTTTCTCCGATAAGAAAACATTCTTTGTGAAGCCGTTTGTAAACAAACAAAATGATCGTATTTTCTTGCCAAAGAGGTCAACTGAACATGTGCACCTTCGGTTGGCCATCTGAACTCAAGCGCCGCCCCTGGTGATGGTGTGGGCTGCCATAACAGAATAAATGTCGAATATTATCGCGAAAATATTCTGGAGGGTATAATAAAGCCTTGGGCACGCAAAAATTTTGGCCGCAGACCTTGGACATTCCAACAGGACTCAGCACCATCGTGCTGAGTTCGATGAATGATGAAGAAGAATGCTTACAAAATGAGGTTCCTCGGTTCATTTCCAGCGCACAATGACCACAAAAATCTTCGGATACCAATACGTTGGGCCATTGTGTCTGGAGTATTTTGGAAAGCAAGGTGGGCACTAAACAATACTAAAGTGTCGATCACCTCAAGCAAGCGCTTCGCCGGGAATGGGCCAAAATACCGCAGAGCAACATTTAGCGTGTGACAGCGTGTGACCGTTTTATTGGCCGTTTGAAGGCCATAATACGTGCCAAAGGTGACCAATTCGAACAAATCTAAACTTATTCTAAAATTTGATGCTATTTCCGACATTTTTTACGTTCATTCAATGAAATTAAAAAAAAATGTTAAAATTCTGGCGTTTGATTTTTTTCAGTTTTTTTTTATCTCACCCTGTAAATACCAAATCGGATAAAACAAATTTGATGTGGTTGCTACTAGATTGAATTCAGTCGGATGTACCAAAATTCAGGTCTTTTTGGACTGATGTTGGCTACTTGGTGCACAATAAACCCGAAACCGGTTGAAGACATATATGGGAGCTATATCTAAATATGAACTGAATCTCACCATTTTCAATAGGGTTCGTCCTTGGGCCAAACAAATATTGTTTGGGTAATTTCATCTCAATCGGATAATAAATGCCACCTGTAATTTGTTTACATATATACATGGACAGACGGACGGTCAGACATGCATCAGATCATTAAAGTGAAGTCCATTTCATTCCCATCTGCATGTTACAAATAAATGCCCAAGGGCATAAAACCCCCTATCACAGTAGGGCGAAGGGTATAAAATGTTAATACCATTAACATTTATCACAACCTAATGTAAATCGGGTTGGGAATTCGGAGATACTCTTAAGTATGGGTTTTTACCGAAATACAGCTACATGAATATGTTCTGTAGGCAGGGTTTCTATCATTGAAGAAATCAATGTGCCAAATTTGGCTAAGACTCTGAGAATAACTACGAATAATTTATATTGGCTTTGGCATGGAATTGTTCCTGAAAAAACTGTACATAACTGTACCCATGTTGCTGAAAAGAGTCCTCAAAGAGGAAGGAGGCACAAGGATTGATTTTGCCATTTATTTACTTGGATTAAGAAAACTTACCATTTTTATGCCAACAACTAACAAAAATGCCATAATAACAACGCTCAGCTGCAGTATGAGTATGGCCAAATTCGGCACATCCATTTCTAAGATGTTAAAAAATAAATATTAATTTTATATTTAAAAGTAAATTCGTTATAAAACAATTCTTACTCAAAAACGCAGAAAATCCAAATACCACTCCCGATCCCTTGTAGCGCAGGCCATGTTCCAAGATTTTGCAAATATTATAGGCACCGTTCGCCAAGGCGATGATAATGCAGACACGTTTTAGTTTCTCCAAATTATGCATTTTTCCCAATTCATCAGTACAGGCAAGCGGCCCTTAATACGTTTACGAAATTACTGAAATATTCGAATGCAGGTAACAACGAATAATTTACGGAGATAATTTTTTAAAATATTTTCCATTATCAAGTAAATATTTTTGGTCAACAAAGGCGGATGGCAGATCGAAGATTTTTTTATATTTCTTATCAATAGCAAGCGATGAGTGTTTTGCAGTATTTTCGGCAATAATCAATGAAATTCGTATACAATAATATGAATAACCTTTGTACGATTGACAGTGGCTCAAGGAAAATAACAGAAAAAAAGTAAAAAAGCTGTAAGCTGTACCGAATATCGGGAGGTACCGTTTTATGGGGGATATACGAAGACGTGGACCTGCACAGATAATAGGCTACAGTATTCATTTCTACTTCAAATAAAAAAAAATTGAAAAAATTCCGATGAATATTGTCGCAAAAATCATCAAAATACCGAATATCGGGAGGTACCGTTATTTGGGGGATATACCAAAACGTGGACCTACATTTCAATACAAAAAGTCCTGCAGAAATAATATACATTTGAGTAAAATTTTATCAATTTACTTCAATTCGTTTGGAAGCTCGAGTGATTTCCACATACGGACGGACGGGCATCGCTAAATCGACATAAAATTTTATGCTGATCAAGGATATATATGCTTTGTGGAGTCTAAAATGTATATTTCGAGGTGTTACAAACGGAATGACAAACTTAATATATACTCCATACTATAGTGGAGGGTATAACAAGAAAAGTAAAGAAAATATTTTTCCCCTTGAAGATTAGTAGATCTTCTCATAGAAGATCTGATCTTATTATAGAAGCTAAGATGGTCTTCTAATAGAAGACCAGTAGATCTTCTAATAGAACACCAGTAGGTCTCCTCATAGAAGACCAGTAGGTCTTCTCATAAAAGACCAGTAGGTCTACTTATAGAAGACCAGTAGGTCTACTCAGAGAAGACCATTAGGTCTTCTCACAGAAGACCAGTAGGTCTTCTCACAGAAGACCATTAGGTCTTCTCATAAAAGAACAGTAGCTCCTCTTAAAGAAGACCATTAGGTCTTCTCATAGAAGAACAGTAGGTCCTCTTAAAGAAGACCATTAGGTCTTCTTATAGAAGAAGACCAGTAGACCAGTAGGTCTTCTCATAGAAGACCAGTAGGTCTTCTCATAGAAGACCAGTAGGTCTTCTCATAGAAGACCAGTAGGTGTTCTCATAGAAGACCAGTAGGTCTTCTCATAGAAGACCAGTAGGTCTTCTCATAGAAGACCAGTAGGTCTTCTCATAGACGACCAGTAGGTCTTCTCATAGAAGACAAGTAGGTCTTCTCATAGAAGACCAGTAGGTCTTCTCACAGAAGACCAGTAGGTCTTCTCACAGAAGACCAGTAGGTCTTCTCATCAAAGACCAATAGGCCTCTCCAGACCTCACATTGAAGACCAGTAGGTCTTCTCATAGAAGACCAGTAGGTCTTCTCATAGAAGACCAGTAGGTCTTCTCATAGGTCTCCTCATAAGTAACCAGTAAGTCTTCTCATAGAAGACCAGTAGGTCTTCTCTCACAGAATAGCAATAGGTCTTCTCTCACAGAATAGCAATAGGTCTTCTCTCACAGAAGAGCAATATATCTTCTCTCACAGAAGAGAAATAGTTCTCTGTAGGGTCTCTCATAGAAGACCTGAATTACCACAGAAGACGAAAAGTCTCTCATGGAATCATTCAAAAGTGTGTAGATCTCTTTAAAGGGAATCTGAAATTCCATCCAATTTCAAGTTGAGTATTTTACTTGGCAAAAAAAAATTTGTTTGTTTTTTTTGTAAATAATATTTATTTAAGAGTATTATCATTTGCTCAATTTCATATCATAAAATAAAATAAAAAATCGATTTCGTATTTACTTAAAGTAGGGCGGTTATTATCGTTATATATTAGGGTGGCCAATCACATATGCAGGTATGCTTGGCCAATATAAATTGAAAACAAAAAATAGGTCAGAAGCATAGTATGGTTAAAAAACTTACAACATAGGAAAAAGGATAAAATATATTTCACAAAAAGAAAGAACGTACTTATAATTATATAAAAAAAAAAGAAAAGTAACATTTTACTAAAATTAAAATGAAATTAAAAGTTTGAAATAAAATTGAAAATAATAATATGTAGAGCAAAAAAAAGCATTATGTGTGACATATAAATTTGTGGCAGTATAAGGTTTCGGTTTGCATTATTTGTTTAATTAATTATTCTTAATTACTTAATTATAGTTATAATATATTTCATTTCATTTTTTTTCATTTACACTAAAATTAATTTTTATTAAATTTGTTTTCAAACCAAAAAATTTCAAGTGTAGTATCCAAAAACCTTTAATCCCAAAGGTATAGTTATGTAACCTGTTTCGTAGAATTTTCAAAAATTTTTATTGAGGAAAAAATAAATTAAAAACAGGTTATTTTATAGAATTAGTTTTGTTTTTTGAAAGATATAAACAATAGAGTTATTTTGGGAAATTATTAATTTTCGAATCGTTTTTTTTTTTGTGCATGAATAGATTGACTCTCTTATAAATTACAAATTAAAAACAAAATGTTTTTTTCTAATAGATGTATTATTACACAGTGCTACAAAATTGAAAATAATGTTTTATATATTAACTTATGAAGCGACATAGGTTAGAATGTATAAAATTGAGAATTTTTGAATATGGGCTTATTATTTTCAGTGAAATGGAGATGTATATTGTGAAATTTGAGGTAAATTTATGAAGTTATTCAGTTACAGTATAAAGATGTGATATGAAAGAGATTTTGGGCATAGCCGAATGATTAGTATTTTTGGAAGACTAAATATTTTATTTATGGGAACAATATTGTCCGGAGTTATCCAATAAAACAAAAACAAATAAATAAATTTTGAAATATTAACTGTGAAACAGGTCTCAAGAACTGTTACATTTTCATAGACTTGAAAAGAGAGGGCATATGTCTCGGCGTTTTTCCCTATCTCATTAATTTTTGCTGTTTTGGGGCGTTGTTGTCTAAAGGAATAATTTTGTAAGATTCATATCTTGCAATCGGTTTAAAATTTTGATTAACTCACTAAGAGAAAGATAAAAACATTGACATACAGAACAAATTTTGTCAACATATACAATGTATAAAACTTAATCTGAAGGTCAAAATCGACAAAGATCAATTTTTTTATTATTATTTTTCGGGGTCTGAGCTAAAGATTCGAAACCGTTTTTTTTTTATTTACCAACTACGAATATATTCCCAAAATGTCAATAAACAACTTTCTACAGCAAAGAAACCTTCTTATAAGCGTACTTAAGGGTGAAAAAAATTGACAGTAGTAAATGGAAACCATTATGGCTTAGGTCGCTGACTCTATAAAAAATATTTCACAGGGTTCAAAAAATATAATCTGTTATTTAGAAGTATTTTTTCGTCGAACATTTTATTTTGGAAAATTACAGCCGCCTCCACATGAATTTCTGCCGGCGACCTGTAATACACTTTGAACCGGGATGCCAATATTTTAACTTTGAGGTGTTTGCAATTTTGATTGGAAATTCCGACTAATACTTGGAAACCAAAAATATATTGCTTTATTGAATAGAAAACCACAGATGCTCTTTGAAGTTCATTGGGGTGGTAAGGATGGGTGTTAAATATATTTTTTAAGGAATATACCAAAAATGTACGAAATGTATCGCTCCTGTGAATAGAAATGTTCTACTGGGTAACCTAATATATGGAGGTAATATGGGCACATATTAAAGTGCACCTATATAGACAATTTTATTCGGGAGTGGCGAATGTATTACGAGAATCATAAATACCCCATTACAGAGAATTACGTTGAAACATAAGGCATTAAAGTTAAAAATATCGAAAATCGGGGGATTCTATAATTTGAGGAATATATATTTTACAATTTATTATTAAAGTAGACTCGTTGCCGAAATGTCGAAAATCAGAAAGTACCTTTATATATTTTCTGGACTGGAGGATACGCCCACAGTTTTCTGAGGATAGCTTTTATCCGTTGATAACACAAAAGCTTGAAAGAAAACTTCCTAGAGGGCAACAGTGTTACTTCATCGTATCGTTCTTAATACCCAAGATCCTATTACCATTTTTAACGTTTAAATCAAACTCTTTATGAGCTAATGTGGACTCTATAGTGATTTCGACAGGCTGATAGACAAGGTTAAATTAAATCGACAGAGAAATAGTTTTCTGTGCAAAAAATCACCGAAGGGCATCAAAAAAAAAAAATGTTTCGAGGTGTTCTAAACATTATTGCTAATAATTATCCCCTTCATCGTGGCAAATCTCAGTGATGCAGTGGGGTTAGATGTGAGCCGATAATAGTCGGTTTTTCAAGCTGCGATACCTCCAGATAATGGGTAATTCGATATTTTTAGCTTTAGGGTCACGATTGACCCTAATACCTAGTTTTTTTGGAAGTCTCAAATTTGATGCTTTCAAATTTTCTTAAGTAAACTAAATCTTCAGTTGCTCAGTGCAGATCGTGTTTTTGGAATGATAATATGTATAATAAATTGAATGACCTGTCTTGTGCGTGCCTTCAATGATAGTAATTTACCCAACATACAAAATCGTGACAATTTAAAAATTATGTAATAAATTATTCAATTATCGGATTCATAGTTTTCTTTGGGAACTGCTCAAAAAGATAGAAAAGGCTATGGAAACATTTCTCAGGTTAATAGCTGAGGTTGTCCTCTTATATATATTCATCCATTTAAATATTTAGAGTATAAAATCATGTTATGTTTGTTATGGTTTTACTTGTGTAGGTAATTGCTAGGGTCTATATCCAAGCATGGTTGTTTTTTTGCAAATATTGCAATATCCATAGAAAAAATTCGACCAATTTGGTGAAAGGTATATCCAACTTAGTTGGCAAATTTTTAAAAATATTGAAAATGTTTTAAAAGTGCGCAGGTCTTGTGTATATAGAACACACTCAGAGGACTCCTAAGAGGTCGTGTATAAATATGAACACTTTTTTCCGGTAATTTATGGATAGCTGATCTTAAGGCGGTTTTATTTGGATACAATGCCATTTGAGGGGTCTTCAGAAGATAGAATGTAATTTCGTTAGAAGACCATCAGGGGGTCTGTAATAAATAACAAACCATCAGAATGACTGGTTATTTTCCAAAAGGCCGTTGAACCCTTTAAAAACATCGGGATGACTATAAGTGATTTTCATAAGGCCTTATTTTCATAGGAGAATTCTAGAAGTCTTCCACAAATCGAAAAAAATCGCTAAAATCAATTCTGGTAGTAAAAAGCAAGTCCAATTTTACTGGGTTTCAAATAGAACTGACAAAAATGTATATAATTTTATTATGGTCATCAAATCCCGCGATTCAATTCAGACAAGAAAACTGTCTGAGGGACCGTAAAGAACGAGGATTTTTTTCATATATTTCTTGTCCTTGAGAAACATTTTTCACCAATCGTCGTAACAAATATTGAAATTGGTATAGTTTGAGGCAACTTCGGATGGAAAATAACGATCTGTAGGACCTAGGGCCGTCCAGGTGTATCAGAAAAAAAAAATCGGAAGCAGCGGTGGATTATGATCTGTAGATTCTTTTCTTTTAAATACCTTTCATTGAATCGGTATTTTGTAGGAATCTCGAATATTATTCAAGGTTGCCCTTTATCTGCAAAGAATTTTTTAACGCACCATTTTAAAAAATCTTAGTTAGACGTCACTTATTTCAAAAAAATTGACATACTTAAAATGTCAAAAATCAAATTTGAGAAACCATATAAAAAAAATCCTACATTCTATACTACATCACTTTACAAGCAAATATTATCGTAATAATTATTATTATTCCTTTTTTGGCTGTAGCACAGTGTTATTAACATTTTGTCCCATGTCATTGTTGCTTACATAACTAAATACACATACAAGTTATTATCAAATACAATTACAAACATGTATGTGTGTATATTTATATGTGTAACTAAGTATTATTTTTTATATATCATATATAAATTCTGTGCTTGTATTGATGATATTTTTTATACATGGTATTAATGAATGAGTTTTATTATCATTTTAAGTAATTGTTTTTCATTTAAAGACAAAATAATAATAATGGCGTTTTATATAAAGAAAAGGAAGAACAAGTAAACAATAGTTAAAAGATATACAGGAATTTTAACAAGTTCGATATTTCATTATAAATCGGAAATATATGTATATTTCGTTTTAATATTAAGATTGTGAAAATTCCATCAGACATTGAAAATGTTCTTCAAATAAATCGAAAAAAAATTCTTCAAAGAGTGTTTCCTTTTTCTAAACACTTCGAATTAAGGGCAAAGCTCTTTGCTTCTCCTGCACACTCAATTTTTTTTTTTTTCAAGGACATGTTCAGTGTCTGACTTCAAAGTACATACATTTTATAAAAAAAAAAAACAAATCTCAAATAAAAATTAATGCAATTTTTTTCACATCAAAGTTCATAGACGCAATAGTTTCAAATATTACACTAAACATATATAGGCTTTTGTTTTTTTTTATTTTTCTTCGAAAAAAAAATCAAAAAGTAATTTTTTTTATGGTTAAACTTAAATATTAAAAAATTATCAACTAAGTGTTTTTTATTATTAATTATTATTAGACACTTCTGTCTAATGTACGTCATTAATTGCTCTCTCTCTCTCTCTCTCTCTCTTTCATTTACTTTTACACAGAGTAGAGCAGTTGAGTTGGAGCTGGAGCAATTGCTGTTTCGCCGCGTTCCAACTATTCAATCCCATTCACCGATATACAAACTGCGTGGTGTTGGTATGTAGCCCCTTGTGGGCAAAGGCAATCGTCCATAAATGTGATTGTAGGGAGAATCAACAAGATCGGCATCTATATAAACAAGAAAGTAGCATTATGTTAATAATTTTTGTATTTTTGAACAAATTAATTTTAAAAATGTGATGTAAAAAAATATTAATAAAAACGTCCAAATTGTCCAAAAAAATCACTATTTAAAATATAACAAAAAAAAATGACAAATTCCATTTATATACAAAATCAATGGATCGCAGATGTATGTGTGTATATTACAAAAGGGGGATACTGAAGTGTAAAAAAATTAGGATAAGTGATTATGTAGAACATTACAATGCTTGAGAATCTAGGCCCTCTTTATTTGAGCTCAAATGTGTAAATATCCCTCGTCATCCCCGAACTTTAAAGAAAGTTAATAAGCTTAAAGTTGTCTATATACAAACAGAAGCTATTCACATTACGAAGACCTCCTAAAGGTTTTATATGTACCGAAGTTTTTTTAACTCTTAAAGAAGTTAACTTGATACTTCTTCTATTATCTCAGGACCTTCCAACCGAGTCGTGCCCATGGGAGACCTAAAGGAACCCTTCATTAAAAAAAGATTTTAATTTTATACAAAGAAGATAAGGAAGGTATTTTTTCCATAAATTGCTTGTAGATGACCTTTTTCATACTAAACATTTTCAGGATCCCATTTTTGAGAGATTTTCTATAAATAGAGATCCTCTAGGATATCTTCTACAAATATAAAATCTTAATTAAACATCTAAAAGGTATCCTAAAAATTGAAGATTCCCAAAAAGTTTTATATAGACAGATGATTTGCAGGAGACGATTAATAAATTGAAGGCTTCAGTAGTTTTTATACCCTCCACCATACATTGTATGGAGGGTGTATTAAGTTCGACATTGCGTTTGTAAATCATCGACATAATAATTTTAGACCCAACAAAGTATATATATTCTTGATCAGCGTAAAATTCTAAGACGATTTAGTCCTGTCCTTCCGTCCGTCTGTTGTAATCACACTACAATCAAAACAAATTAAGATAGGAAGTTAAATTTTTGCACAAATCTGTATTTTGTCTGCAGGCAGGTCAAGTTCGAAGATGGGCTATATCGGTCCACGATATCGTATAGCCCCCATATAACGGTACCCCCCATATTCGGTATTTTGATGATTTTAGCCACATTTTTCAATTGAATTGTCTGAAAAATCCCTACAAGGAGTTCCTTGTGGGTACTTTACCCCTTGAAAGAGAATTGCCTATATAGGTCCACGATATCGTATATTCCCATAGAATGGCACCTTTCTTTATTCGGCATTTTGATAATTTTAGCCACATTTTTCAACGGAATTGTCTGAAAATCGACACAGAAAATTCCTTGTGAGTACTTTATCCCCTGCAGGAGATTAATCTTTATAAGTCGTATTGGGCCCTTAATACCAAATACCATTTCGGTATTTTAATGTTTTTAGCCACATTTTTTCAACGGAATTTTCTAAAATTCTACACTAGGAGTTCTTTGTGAGTACTTAACCCCCAGAAAAAGAATTGTCTATATAGATCCACAATATCGTATATCCCCCATATGTCGGCATCTTCCGATATTCGATATTTTTAAGATTTTAACAGAATTTTTAATGGATTTTATTTTTTTTTTTGAAAAATTCTTAATTCGTTCCAAATGGTGGAGGGTACTCAAAGTTCGGTCTGGCCGAACTTACTGCTTTTTTACATGTTCTATGTTAAGAGGTCATCTGTAAATAAATGACCTCAAGAAGTTTTATATGAAAAGAAAATTTCCAAGAGGTTTTTTATATATAAAAAGTCTTCGAATGTCCCTCAATCGATGATGTATTTTATCGATGGTACCCTTCCGAAATTTCTTTAAAATATAGAAAATCACCAAAGGAATTCCATGGACCTTAAGAAGTAGAAAAACTTTAAAATGTTTTTCATGGGACATCAGGGGTTTGTCTTAAGAGGCCTTCTAAAAATAGACGTTTTTGACAAATTGGAGAGCCCTAGAGGTTCTTTTCATAAATGGAGGTCTTCTATACACAAAAGTCGCTTTGACGTTATTCCATAAATATAAGACCATCAGTAGGTCTCCTCTAAATATGGGAACCAGGATTTTTTTTACAAAATGAAGACACTCGCATGGTCTTTAATTAATAGAAGACCCTTAAGAGGAAATATAAGATCATACGAAGATTTTTACGAATAGAAGACTCTGTATAGGTCTTCAAAATATAACAGGCCTCTAGAGGTCTTCAACAAATAGAAGACTAGAAGGTTCTCTGTTCCAAAAACGTTTTTGACAAATTGGAGAGCCCTAGAGGTTCTTTTTATAAATGGAGGTCTTCTATACACAAAAGTCGCTTTGACGTTATTCCATAAATATAAGACCATCAGTAGGTCTCCTCTAAATATGGAAACCAGGATTTTTTTTTACAAAATTAAGACATTCGCATAGTCTTTAATTAATAGAAGACCTTTAAGAGGAAAAATAAGATCACACGAAGATTTTTACGAATAGAAGACCCTGTATAGAGGTCTTCAAAATATAACAGGCTTCTAGAGGCCTTCTAAAAATAGAAGACATTAAGGAGATTCTCTGTTCCAAGAACGTTTTTGGCAAATTGGAGAGCCCTAGAGGTTCTTTTTATAAATGGAGGTCTTCTATACACAAAAGTCGCTTTGACGTTATTCCATAAATATAAGACCATCAGTAGGTCTCCTCTAAATATGGAAACCAGGATTTTTTTTACAAAATTAAGACATTCGCATAGTCTTTAATTAATAGAAGACCTTTAAGAGGAAAAATAAGATCATACGAAGATTTTTACGAATAGAAGATCCTCTATAGGTCTTCAAAATATAATAGGCTACTAGAGGTCTTCAACAAATAGAACACTCTTAGGAAGACCATTATAAATAAAGGACACTGAAGAGGTCCTCTATCCAAAGCTTTGCAGCCCCAAAAAGGAAATGATCTAATATTTAAAGGTTACCTTAAGGAGATACTTTACTCATTGAGGCCTTAAGAAGCCTTTTTACTCATAGATACCTTAAGGAGATACTTTACTCATTGAGGCCTTAAGAAGGCCTTTTACTCATTGAGGACTTTTAGAAGGTCTTCTACGCAACGGGAGCTCTTCCATATCGTAAATACCTATCACAAATCTGCTGTATTTAGAAGAACGTCAGAAGATCTTCTACTCATGGAAGAACGTTGATAGGTATTTTATTCATAGGAGAGCCTGAGAAAATTTTCTCCGCACAGGAGAGTCCCAAAAACTTTTCAAATCATAGAAGATCTTCAGTAGGCCTTCTACTCATAAAATACCATCAGAAGGACTTTTAGTCGTGAAAGACCTAATAAAAGTCTTTTTAAAAAATTTCCAACTTACAGAAGACATCATGAGAGATTTTACAAAGAAGACCTACAGACCAACAGGAGGTATCTTATTCATATAATACCTATAGGATGTTCTCTAATCATAGAACACGTTTAGGAGGATCTTAATTCATTGAAAATATTTAGAAATATTCATCGTAGAGAACAGATTCAGAACGCCTGTATAGCTTTTCATGGAAAGGATACTTTCTGGAGGTCTTCTACTCCCAAATAAGAATTTGAAGGCTTCATTATACTCATTTTAAATAAAAAAGAAGACCTTTTGAAGATCTTTTTCACATCGAAGACCTTGTGAGGGTCTACTACGCATAGAATGCCTTCTGGAGGTAATTTTCACATTAGAGACCTTTTTGAGGTCCTTTTCATACAGAAGTCATCCAGTTCTCTTCAGTAGGTCTCTTTTTCGTACAGGAGACCTTCTGGAAATCTACTACACATAGAATACTTTTTTCTTTCTTTTTTTCTTCTTCACTAAAGAGACCTTTTGTAGGTCCTCCTATTTCAAGAGGTATTTCACAAAAAATACAGTCTTGAAGCCCTCTTCACTTACAAGTCCTTTCCTAGGTACTCTCCATATAGATTACTCTTTACACTTTGGCGATGTACTCTTAACGATCTTCGGATCATGGAAGCTTCCATGTGGCCTCTTGAACATAGTAGACTTTTTTGCGGAGTTTCATGGCTTCTTACAGAAAATTCTGAAGTTTTTCTGTTCCTTAAATATTTTGGGCATATTTACATTAGAATTTTTTAAAATTTGTAATATTTACAAATATGTTGTGTAATTTCTGAATTTTTCAAATATGGTACAGTTTCGAAATTCCTAATTCTTATATTTACACATCAGCACATCGATCTGTGAATTATATGATGAGACTTTGTACAATTTTGAAATTTGTCATTATGAGTTTGTTTGTCTGTTTTTTTTTTCAGTACCAACAAAAAATTAATATATACATGGGAATTCCGAACAACATGTGGTAAGGATGGTAGGTTTGTACAAATTTGGGGGAGGGTGGTCATGAAATTAGTCCAAAACCGTAACGTAATACAAAACAACCGTAAATCCTGGGGGGGGGGGGGGGGGGGAAATATACAATGATCATGGTTGTTGGGTTGTTGGGGTTGGAGGCGTTTGAGGTCATATGGAGTCCAGGGGGTCATGATAGAGGTGAACAGTGGAAATTAGGGGAAATTTACAGTTTATGAAAAAAAGAAAAAGTAAAGCATCATAAAAAACATATTTACAGCAGTTTTTGTTTTTTTTTTTTCTGTGACTAACCCCTACGAACTCTCAACATTTTCCCAATAACAACAACATAACCTCAAAATTTAAATAAAAACCAATTAAAACAGAATCCGTTAAGAAAAAAGTAATAGTGGGGGGAAATTGAAGGCAAACCTATTGGGGGCATTTCGATTGGTTTTTTTCTGAGGGGGAGACTTGGTCGTTCATTGTGGCGGCTAATAATCGAGGATTTGTATTTTTTTCAAACTCAAGCTACGTTGTTTGCGGGGCTTCAGATAACCATAAATTGACTCCAAATCGCTTATGTCCACACGACTAGAAGAGCGGCTGGCACGTCCCGAATGTTGTTGTGGTGGTTGTTGTTGCTGTTGTTGTTGGTCAGGGCCAAGCTTTTGCAAGGAGCTTTCATATTGGTTTTTGTCTTGTCCTTTATTTTGGTCCTTCGCCTTGGGGGTTTCCAAGACATTTGCTTTATTGTTGCTGTTATTGTTTTTATTCAAATCGCTTTTATTTTTAAAATTATTTAAAATCGTTTCAGTTTTGCTCACAACATTGTTATTCAAATCGAACTGTTTCGTTGACTGATTGTTTGTTTTGCCTGGACTTAGCAGACTTTTCAAATTCATGCGTTTGGCTCCACGCCACATTGGTGCTGGCACCAGGGGCTTAATTGTGTCCCGACTGAATGGCGGTGCCTCCTGTTGTTGCTGGGTACTCAAATTAAGTTGCGAGTTAAATTTCTTGGCATTCTTTAGGCCCTGTCCCATGTCACCATGTATTTTTACGCGATCATAGATATTGGTGGTGGATGGTGCCTTGACTATCCTCTGACGTCCTCCATACATATACAGGGAGCCCTCCTCATTGGGTTCTTCGAAAAAGCTCTCAATGGATTGGGATTTGCCACGCATTTGCAGGAGATTTGAAGATTTCTGGTTTTGACCTTGATTTGGAGGTGGTATGGGGGTGTTATTGTCCTTGGATATTTTCCGTTTTGGTGTGGGAGAGCGAATCTGCCTCAAACGGGCCCTATCAACATAGCTGGGCTCGCCATGATTATGTGATTGTCGCCTCTCCTTGGATGGTGACTGCTGGCGATATTTATGCCGGGCCGCATGATCATTGAATTTATAACCCCTACCCCGCGGAGCCTCCAGCTGTTTCTTATAGTCCATTTGGGAGAGATTAAACTCATCCATATCCTCAAAATCATTATTCAAATCAAAGGCACTGCTATAGTCATAGTGGGTCTTGGGCTTCATATAGCCACTATATTCATATGTCTCCTCCGATTGCGAGAGATCTTCCCGCCCTAGTAGAGAGACATCACTGTCACTGCACCACTTGACTACACCACGAGTTTGGGAGCTATGCAAAGATCGTTCCTTGGCTGCCGCTCCGCTGAGGAGCTGATGTTGACGCAACTGCTGTTGACTGAGACTCCTCACCGGACGCTTGGGAGGGGGTACTCCAAAGAGTGGAGCCAGTGTGTAGCAGCTGACACAGTTACAATTGTTATCGATTTGGGTACTGGACCTGCGAGTTGGCCTCGACTGGTGATGGGAACGTCTGCGGCGCTCCATCTCCAGATCATCGCTATTGAAATACAAATCATGAGCTTTATAATAGAATTCCCCTGGCGTGGAACGGGCATGGGGTGTTTGACCCTGGCTTCCATGGCGGCCACACATATGTGAAGAGCTGCCATGCGTGGACCGATGATGATGGTGATGGTCACGATGATGCTGCGACACCGAGGCCGAGGCCGATGCCGACGACGACGAAATGTGATTAATGTGATGAGAAGCTCTTGGCTGGTGGTAATGCTGATAATAGTTGCCACCTGTTTTATTTTGGGCCATGGCTTTGTGATTGTAATGCTGTGAATGTGTGGGTGTAAAATTTACATTTCTTGTCTGTCCATAAATATTGTCCGCCAAAGAGTCATTATTGGTCGAAGGCCCAGAGGAGCCCATGAAATTTGTCATTACATTATGTCCATGTCCCGTCTGATGTTGTTGTTGTGATGCTAATGTTGTTGTTGTTGTTGGCAACAAATTATTACTATTACTATTATTAGGCATAGCATTGGCAATAGAAGAAGGAGAAGCGGCAGAAGTAGAAGAGGAAATTAAAGAACCAGAAGATAATGGCGGTAGAACAGAGGCAGCACTAGTGGCTGCATTGGAAATATGGGTCAGAGACTGAATGTTATGATGCTGGTGATGCTGTTGTTGGTTTTGGTGGTATTGGTGCTCATTACTGAAAGGTGCAAAATAATTATAAAAATTTGCCGGACCCATTGCTGGGCCAGCACTGGGATGATAGAACATTCCAGCTATTGCTGCAGTCGCTGTTGCCGCATTCCCATTGGTCGTGTGGGTCAGGGGCAGTCCTAAAATCTGTTGTTGCTGTTGTTGGTGTGTCTCTGTACTATTGGTATTACCACTAATAAATGTCGTCGTTGCTGTCGCTGTCAAGGCGGCTGCAGCAGCTGCAGCGGCAGCCGCAGCAGCGGTTGGTGCCGCCGCCGAGGCCGCTGCAGCCGTGGTCGTTGTCGCAGTCGTTGCTGTTGCAGCTGTAGCTGCAGTATGATGATGGTGTTGTTGTTGTTGTTGCGGTTGTTGCTGATGATGTTGATGAAATTGTTGTTGGTTATAAATACCTATGCCACTTTCATAGCTGCGCGTGTGCCACATTTGTTGCGCATGCGCGTGTGCATGTGCATGATGATGCATTGGGTGTGAGTGCTGTTGTTGTTGCTGCTGCTGCTGTTGCTGGGCAACAGCCTGTGCTGCAGCCACGGCCATCATTTGCTGTTGCTGTATGTGATGTGGGTGCATGTGTGGCGGTGCCGGAGCATGCATGGCCGGATGCATGGGCATCATGATTGAAGTCTTCTTTTGATTGTTGGTCAACGTGTTCATCGAATTTGGAGCCGAAATAACGCCATTGCGATGCTGCTCATGTTCTTTGGCCGATTTTGAGGAGGATTTCACAAAGTTGGGAACGCGTGCACGCAGACCGCAATAGTAGGGATCATCTGGAAAAAGAGACAAAGAAAAAAATGAAACTTGTGAGAAAATGCAGAAATATCAATAAAATTGGGAAAATAAAAATTTAAATGCTATCAAAAGATATGTTGTCTGATAGGAGTATAACCAGGAACCCATCATTACTCATGGATCTTAAGAACAAAAAAGTAGTAGTCCTTGATTTTTAGGAATATTTTTTTGAAAGACTAGGATATTTTATAATCTTTGGATTTTATAAGTAAATTTCCATTAAAGGCTATCAAGGACGTATTTGAAATTTGTATAATACAGGGTGAGATAAAAAAAACTGCAACAAAGTCAAACGCAATAATTTTTATTTTTTTTTTAATTTGATTGAATGAAAGCAACAAATGTCGGAAATTTTAGAATAAGTTTAGATTTGTTCGAACTAGTCACCATTGGCACGAATTATGGCCTTCAAACGGCTAATGAAAGCGTCACACACTGCCCGAATGTTCCTCTGCAGCCTTTTGGCCCATTCTCGGCGAAGCGCTTGCTTGAGGTGATCGCCACTTTGGTATTTTTAGTGCCAACCTTGCTTTCCAAAATACTCCAGATACAATGGTCAATCGTATTGGTATCCGGAGATTTTGGTGGCCATTGTGCGCTGGAAATGAAGCGAGAAACCTCCTTTTGTAACCATTCTTGGGTGGCGCGTCCTGTTGGAATGTCCAATGTCTGCGGCCAAAATGTTTGCGTACCCAAGGCTTTAATACACCATCCAGAATATTTTCGAGACAATATTCGACATTTATTCTGACAAACGGCTGTTATGGCGGCCCACACCATCACCATGGCCAGCGCTTGAGTTCTGGTGGCCAACCGAAGGTGCACATTTTCAGCTGACCTCTTTGGCAAGTTAAGGCGATCAGTTTGTTTGTTTACAAACTGCTGGACAACGAAGGTCTTCTCATCGAAGAAAACTATTTTCTTTCTGTTGAGGTGTAAGTTCTTGTAATATCTTGGAATATCAATGGCTTTACTCCGAGCTCATTTTTCAATATTTTCCGAATGGAATATTGAGATATGTTCAGCTCACGAGCCGTTTTTCGGCCACTGCGACGCCGGTTTCGATCCAGTCGCTTCGTTACTTTTCAAACCATTTCTGCTGATGTTGCTGTTTTCTTCCGTACACTTCCTTGACGTCGGGCTACGCTATCAGTATCACGGTGACGAGCGATGGTACGAGACACAAAAGATTTATTCACATTTAATTGCTGAAGTGCTGTAACGATAGCCACTTGTGGTTTTCCAGCCAAATATAAAGAATTCCGTCACGAAAATGGAAAATTCTCAGCAAAATGCTTTTGTACGCTTGTAAACAATATAATGAGCTGTCACTGGAATAATTTTAATAGCTCTCGGACGAGTGGCCTAGAAATGATTACAGTTTAAAGTTGGTTGAAGTTTTTTCATCTCAGCCTGTACGTACTTTGCTAGGTCTAAAATTATTTTTTCGATGAGTTACACAGAACGGAATGACGAACTTAATATACTCTATGTGCTATGTATGGTAGAGTGTATAGAAAATGGGATACTCTCCGGGGTTATCATTTTTGATTGTTTTGAATAATTCCTTTAAAGTATCTCTAATCGACTTTACAAAAATATTCTTTAAAGGCGAAATGAAGCTATAATTTAGGAATATTTTTAAGAATTAAACGGGCTATATTCCTGGATAATAGGAATAGGGTTTGGATTTTTATACCCTACAACACTATGTATTGGGGGTATTATAAGTTTGATTGGGCCAAAAATTATGTAACACCTCGAAATATTGGTTTCCCACGTAGGAAAGTATATATGGATCTTTCTGTCCCGCCGAACTGAGTCGATCTAGCTATGTATGTCCGTCCGTCCGTCTGTCCATGTTAATTTGTAATCACTCTACAGGTCGCAATTATGACTCGATCCTCACAAAATTGAAAATGAAGGTGGGGTTAGAGTCAGAATAAAACCTTATTGTTTTTGGAGTTGATTGCAAAATATTCAGGGGTTGAAATGGACCAAAAATTTTTCCTGATTTTGCAGTGGCTCTATAGGTCACAATTATGAACCGATCGACGCGGAAATTTACATGGAGTTAGAGTTTAGGACTGGGCTGAAGCTCATCAATTTGGGCGGCATTCGGACAGTATTTAGCGGGTAAAATAGACCCTAACTTTTATGTAAGAAAATAGAAAAATTTCCACTAAACCGCTAATATTTCTAACCCTTGCTAAATCACAAATATATTAAAGGATCACTTCTGAGCATTAAGTGATGCTGATAGCCAAGAAATCGGATATTTATAGCAAAATAGAAATAATATATATGTAAAAAAAATTCCCAAATTCCCTGGGTCAAAAAGGTAAGATGTTACCTAAGGGTAACATCTGGGCAGGGCTCTTTGACTTTATTTTAAAAACGAAACCTTCTAAAACGAATTTGGATATAAGGAGAATTCAAAAATATTGTAGTGTTGTAGGGTATCACATGGTCGGCCCCGCACGACTATAGCCTTGGCTTACTTGTTTAGAATTATTTTGAAGGAATATCCTTCTTCGTGGATTTTTAAGGTGAATTTGTAAATATAACAATTACGAATCTTTTAATAAATAATTTTAGGCCTTCGGTTACGTAAACAACCGAATATAAAATATTATTTGTGTTACAAAAAATAAAATATTTTTTTTTTAAATTAGACTCTTCAAGAAACCCAATATCTGAAGACCTACAAATGAGCCAAATGCATTTTCTGAAAATAAATCTTAAATTTTATGGCCATTCGGCGGAGATGTGGACCAATAAATAACAACAACGAAACAAAAATCAAATAAACAAAATACAAATCTGCACAAAATCAAATCGACATGGCGCACACATATTTCACTGTATCGAATGACATTTTATTTGAAAAAAAAATATTGAATGGTGGTGTTGATGTTTTGAAATGAATATTACAATCGTTTTATGTTGTTATTAAATCAATGCCATTCACTTTGCATATCATGGACAATGGAGAAGCACACCCTCTCTTTGGCTTTGATGTGGGCTATCAGATGGCGGCAGGCAGCCACCAAAACATAATGGCCCAAAAAGAGTGGTGTTTTTTGCAATTGCACTGCAATGAACCCAAGGATCGTATGACGAGCTTAGAAAAAAAAAACAAACCATGGTTTTAGCCAACTATTGTTTTGCTTGACTGACTAACCCAATGCCGCTGCAACGACTACCACAACTACGGCTGCTAATCAGCAATGGTCAGCACAAGTATGTCGGCGAAATATACAAATCTAAATTTTGTAATCTTAAACCATGATTAGTTGTTTTTTTTTTCTTTTTCTTTAAAGTTTGATCCATAAATAAATCCATAAAATGCACGAATATTACATTTATTATGAATATTAAAGCGCTTGAAATCAAACATAATCTTGAGTTTTTTATGAAATCGAAATTTTCTATGGCTTTGTGTGGTTCATAACCAAATGTAATATATATAATGCCTTTTTTCTGGTGGCCCAATAAATCATCCACTAAAATGTAAAAAAAAAAACTTTTCATTTATCCACCTCCTCATGCCAAAATCGAAGACATTGTAACCGAACTCAAACTAGACAATTGCTTAATAAATAGTCCAAACCAACAAAAAGACATTCTGTCTTACTTCGGTTTCCAGCAATTGTGTAAGACTTGCCGAATATTCCTTCGATGGTATTTTTTTCCAAATATGCTAATACATATTTTCATATTGTATTTTTTGAATTTTGGTTTTTGGGTTGGGTTATGGTTATGAATGTATTACAACACAGCCGCCTACATTGGTTCCTGGCATTTCAAATTTTTAAAGCAATTCCCAGGCAGCCGTGTTTTTCGTGTGGCTGCATCTGTATGGCCATAGCCTAGACTTACCATATTTCTTATTGTCTTTGCCTTTATCGGATTTGCCACGTGACAATTTAATACGTGTATCCACTTCGATGTCATCGTAGTCGGGCTGAAATAAAAATGAAATACAATTGATTATTACATATGTATTACATAAATGTTAAAAATAATTAGAGATATTAATTGTGGTGTGGGGATTTGGGTTATGAAATAAACTGAAGACAAAATTTTAATATACGAAATTAATTAAGGTTAATTTCGGAATATTTCCGAAAAAGAAGTCGTTTTGAAACTTGGAAGATGTGGGTATAAAAAAATGCTGAACAAGAAGGTGTCGCAGAGCAAGCGGCCGATTTTCCTTAGTTTTTTTTAAAAAACCAATCAATCAATGTCTATGTATTGTTGATTTAATTGTTTAACAATTAGCTTTACTAACAATTTTAGACAAAATTCTTAAAAAAAATGAAAAACGTAATTTAATTCTCAATTAAGCAATCTCTTTATATTATTTTGCACACCTCTTGTATAATACCATTAAGGAAAGATCAAAAGTCGAATATATAATATCCTACACCAATATGTGGATTTAGTAGAGCTCCCGTAAAAAAATTTATATTGGAAATTTCATTCCAACTATGAACCAAATAACATTGCTGTATAGTACATAATATGACTTCGATAATTATATTAAACAAGTAAAAAAGCAGTAAGTTCGGCAGGGCCGAAATTTGAATACCCTCCACCATTTGGAACTAATTTGGCAATTCTCAAAAACAGTAAAATCCGTTAAAATCTTTAAAATACCGAATGTAGCTGTTACATTAGGGTCTATACAACGACATGGACCTACATAGGTAACTTTTGTCTTAAACCATTACAATATTCAAATGCGAAACTTAACAAAAAAGATCGGTGAATAATGTAGCTAAAATCATGAAAATACCGAATATCGGGAGGTACCGTTATATGAGGGCTATACGAAGACGTGGACCTGCACATATAATTTTCTGTCCAAATTTCTGTTCCAAATTTGAAACAATTCCGATGAATATGGTCGCAAAAATAATGAAATACCGAATATAGGGTGGGCCACGTTTCAATACCAAAAGTCCTGCAGACATAATATACATTTGAGTAAAATTTTATCAATCTACTTCAATGCGTTCGGAAGCTAGAGTGATTTCCAAAGACGGAAGGACATTTTATGCTGATCAAGAATATATATACTTTGTGGGGTTTAAAATGTATATTTCGAGGTGTTACAAACGGAACGGACTTAATATATCCTCCATACTATGGTGGAGGGTATTAAAATTTTTATTAGAGCAATAGATATACCGGACCTACTTTCACCAAATGGTAAAATTCAGTTGAGTATGAAAAAAATCTATTCAATTTAAAATATGTTGAACAATAACAGTAAAATCGGATGAAGATGTATATCGAAGCTATATAAAAATCTGAACCGATCTTGATAAAATTTGGCAGAGGTATTTTCGAGCTGTATCTGATGCCTGGTAAAAAATATCATTGTTGTGGAGTGCATATTACTCATGTGGAGGACTTGATCACCAAATCGGATGAAGCATATATATGGGAGCTATGGCTATATCTGAAGCGATTTTCGTCAAAATTTGAAACACTTGCTTTTGGGCTGAATACCTTGGGAAGTGTCAAAATTCAGTCCATTTTGGCTGATATTAACCAATTTAGTGCACAAAAAACATGAAATCGTATAAATTTATATAGGGGAGCTATATCCATATTTGAACCGATCTTGACAACATTTTTAAAATGTATTTCTGAGCTGTGTTTGATACCAAAAATTATTAAAGTGGAGTGCATGTGAGGGACTTATAACCCTAAATTGGATGAAACATATACATGGGGGCTGCAGCTATATCTGAACTGATTTTCACGAAATTTGATGTTCTTGCTTCTAGGCTGAAATCGGTTGGATGTGCCAAAGGTCAGGTCATTTAGACCAATATTGGCCATTTGCTGTACAATTAAACCGAAATCGTTTATATATATGGGAGTTATATCTAAATTTGTGGAAAAGTTCATCTTAATCGGGTTATAACTGCGACCTGCAGTTTGTTCCCAGAAATACATGGACACGTGGACGAACATTCATAAATCTACTCAGAAAGCGATTCTATGAAGATCCTCGAACATAACTGTAGGTCCTACCTTCTCCATGTTACAAAAAAATGCACAAAGACATAATACCCTTACCACTATATGATTTAGTTCTTTAGTAGTTCTGAGGCAGTTATGATGGTTCTTTATTATTATTTCGGATTACAGTATAAATCTAGACTGTGTATGCCCCCAAAAATGATAAATCTTAAAAATCACCGAATTTTCGAGTATGTTCAGACCATATATAATAAAGACTTTTTGTTTGAAGTGAAATCAATCTTTAGATGGAATATTTTCGAAGGACCATCAGGACTATAGCTCCACTCAGTAGCTTCCAGATAATTACTACCCAAATAAAAATGAAATAGAAATAAAAATTCGACAAAGAGCGGTATATAGTTGTACTGCTCGATGTTCTGTATTTGAAACACCCTAGCCGTATATTCCGAATATCCACCCTTTGTCTATGTAAAAACCTATAAAAAATATTGGTTCAAACAATTTGTTTGATTGTACTGTGGAATGTTAGTCAATGACAGCAAATTATTGAATAAAAGACAACAGAAAACACTTGTCTCACTAACAGAAATAGCTATAAATAATACGAAATTAAACTTCAGCTGATTGCAAAGCAAAAAAAAAAAAATGAGAATACATGAAACTAAGCACTGAAACTGGTAACACCATATTTACTGAAATAATATATCGATATTCGATAATGGTCATACCGTGCTAGAAACACTAACTAGGCAACGTTATTAACGCTTGCAATATAACAAACTATTTCAATATTGCAATTAAAAAAATTTACAGAAATACTACAAAAGCAACTTCAATCACTTTGATTGTGTGCGTGTTTTTTTTTTTGCAATTTTAATATAGGGGTGTTTACCCATAAATCTCAAGGCACTTCGACTAAGGTGGCGCAGGGGATCGCAAAAGGGGAGGAACATTTACAAATAGCTTAACACGGCACCTCTGTATGGGGCCCAAACAAAATAACGTATTTGAAAGAAATCATAACATGTAATGTTTAATCGCGTGTAATTAATATGCAAAGAATGCAGAATTCTTTTGTTGAGTTTTTTAGTTTTGTTTCAATAGTTGTTTCAACACTGACATACATGCCTGCTCGTGAATGCTTGTTTTTCGCAGCTCAGAAGTTGAAGTAAAAAAGTGTAATAAATTTTGTTACGATTTCATATGCCAACGGTTACACCCCATCGGAGGCCCCCATTTGCCCCTTTGATTTCATAATGGCAAAATACCAAAGCAAGGTAACCAAGAAAAACCACAGAACAGCAAAGCAATTGGAAGAAAAAGAAAAAAGCGAGAAAACAACTTCCATGGTATTTTTATAGAAGTTCAGTGCTTGTTGCTTAAGTCTTTTGTTCTGCTGGTGCAAAATTATTGGTGCATTGTAAGATGCTGCTGCTGCTAAGTGGCTAAAAAAACTATGAGAACAACATATGACATTTTGTGATTATGACTTTGTTAAGAACACCATTTCTCAAGTAAACCATTTCCATTGAAACAAGTTTAGTGATATCTCAAACATTTTAAATTTTCTAACTCCAAAATTGTCTGGCACTATTAGTACCTTTTAGTACTTTCGGTACCCATTTAATCCATATTTCCAAAATGGCATTAGTTTTTTACTCTTACACAAGGACAGTGGTATATATTCCAAAATTCAGTATATCAGCTCTGTTTATTTGGCAAAAGCCGTGGTACAAAATTTGGTACTTTTTAGTACATTCCGTACCCTTGTAGTTTCTATTTCGGAAAGACTTGTCTTATCTCATTTCACATTTAAAATCAACAAATTCTAGCTTTCAATGTTCAACCAAATATGCAGCACTGTATTTAATACGGTTTAGTACTTTCAGTACCCATTCAATTACATTTTTTTTTTTTTTTAATATTTTCCATATTCTAGCTTTGTCTCGTTGTCTCATGAAATGTAAGGCAGTTAGTACATTTTCGTACTTTTAGTACATGTTCAGTTCGAATTTCCATTAATCAGATCGTATACCAATGTTGTCCCTTGTTCCAAATGTACCTTTTAGTACCTTTTAGAGTTTAGTAGTTCAAATTTCCTTGAGTGCACCGGTATTTTGTCCATACACACCCAAAACTTCACATATGTCAAATTTCAAGGTTCACTCTCTTGGGAGTTCATCAGAGAGTTTATATTTTAGTTGAGGTGAGCACTGTCTCCATTCTTTCACTCTTACTCTAATTCCAATACAAATTATAAAATGGAGATTTTCGCTACTAATATGTATCTAATATTTAATGACTTTTTATGTAGGTAGCCTTCGGCCCAGGCTTGATTTCATTTTTGTGTATTGTTTCGGAATTTGTTCAATCGTATGACCACTTATTAGATAGACTTTTCTGTAAGCCATCCTTTGATACCCATTTGTACATATCAAAACCGGATAGTACCCGAAATTTGTATCCTAAATTTCCAGTCGGATAACCGGGTATCTCTCCCACAAATAAATTACTTTGTCGTAATAAAATTAAAACCAACTACTTGTGATCAATTCGAGCATATGTCCGTTTTTTTTTTTTTTTTTTTTTTTTGTAACCCCTACCGGATAATACCCGAATGTATCCGAAATTTGTAGTAAGATAACCTTATAATTCTCCCACGAAAAAATACTTTGTCGTAATAAAGTTAAAATAACTAACACTGCTCAATTCGAACATATGTCCGGTTTTTCGTAACCCCCACCTGGATAATACCCGAAATTTGTGTCCGAAACTACAAGTTGGATAACCGGGTATCCGAACATTTCACCCATGAAAAATAACTTTGTCGTAATCAATCAATAATAGCTAACTGTGATCCATTCGAGCATATGTCCGGTTTTTGTAACCCCTGCCGAATAATACCCGAAATTTGTATCAGAAATTCTAGTATTTCCCACGACAAAACTGAAAAGTTAAGAATAACCTTTTGTGGGGAAATGCCCGGATACCCGGTTATCCGACTTGATCACAGGTCAATTCGAACATATGTCCTGTTTTTGTAATCCCTAGCGGATAATACCCCAAATTTGTATCCGAAACTACAAGTCGGATATCCGGGTATCCAGGTATTTCAGCACAAAAAGTTACTTTGTCGTAATCAGGTTAGAAATAACTACCTGTGATCAATTCGAGCATATGTCCGGTCTTATTTGTAACCCCTACCGAAAAATACCCGAAATTTGTCCGGATAACCGGGTATTTCCACCACAAATAAGATACAAGTTAAAAATAACTACTTGTGATAAATTCGAGCATATGCCCGATTCTTTTGTAAGCCCTACCGAATAATATCCGAAATTTTTAATCGGTTTATTTTATTATATCCGAAATAACCGGTTTATTACCCAAGAAAACATTACTTTATCGTAATCGTGTTAAAAATAACTACCAGTGATCAATTCAAGCATATGTCCGGTATTTTTTGTAACCCTTACCGGACCCTTAAAAAATACTTTGTCGTAATCAGGTTAAAATAGCAACCTGTTATCAATTCTCCTCAATTTTCAAAATTCTGGATTTCAAAAGATCTCCAAAAATTAATTTTCAAAACTCGAAACTCTGATATTTGACATTTTTTCGAAAAATAATTCTGAGTCTGATTTTAAACTAAGAAATCCTGAGAAAAGCCCTCAGAAAACAAAACATACATGAAAAACTTCCTTTTCCAAATTTCTGGGATTAGAACCATATTTTTGTCGCTGATACATTTGGAATTGAGATATCTTTTAGAATTTTGAAAGATTTACCACAGACGATGATAGTGAAATTCTATCGTAGGTTTAAGTAAAACTTGACACTTTTATAGATGTTTTACATATCTCCCTGAAGATGCAATGTAACCCATTGCGAAATATCGGATTTAAATAAAGGAAAATAAACCCAGACCTAAAGCTCAAATAAATATTTATTTATTGAAATTACATTGGAAAAGGTCGATTAAAAAACAAACTTGAATTATACTGATCTCCAAAAATAATTTTTAAAATCTAAATTTCAGACTTTTGCATTTTTCCGAAATATTGAAGTGGAAAAGCCTAATTTTGATTTCATATTTATGCTGGAAAATAACTAAAAACCAATATTCTTAATTTTGAAACCAAATGTAAATCAATCATTATTTTTTTTTAAATATTTTCAAATCAATCTTATGTTTTTATTTTTAATTTAGAAGAAACCATTCAATTTTATTTCACTCACCTTCGGTATATCATGCGCTGTCCCGTATATACTGTCTCTTGGCGGCAATTTTGGCGGTTTTTCACTACGCTTCAGAGCCATTTGTTGTGCCTGTTGTTGTTGTTGCATCAGCAATTGTTCTCTGGCGGCTGGGCCATGGCCATTGAGGCCGGCTGCCATAACACTGCCATTATTCAACAGCAGATTTCCATTGCCAACGCCATTGCCGTTTGTCATAGATTGTGATTGCGATAGTTGTTGTTGCTGTTGCGCTTGCGTCTGTAGCTGCTGCTGTTCGCGTCCGTGCATTTGCAATTGGCCATTATGAGCGGACATCATGCTACCCAGGCCACTAGCACCGAAACCAGAGCTACCCGAACTGCCGCCACTGCCATTGCCAGCAACGCTGTAAGGATCCTCATCGGGTATGGGTATTCTAGGACGATTTTTGATATCAACCAAAGGTCGTTGAACTGCAGAATAGAATAGAAGGAAGAAAAAAGCTTTACTTAAAACAAAGAAACACACACACGCACACTGAAAATAAATCAATTACATCTTTTTGTGATTGTCATTTTTGGATGGGCTGGACGCATGCGTAGCCAAGTAGGCATTCAAAATTGCGTTACTCCTATGTTACGCTGCGATTCGTTACCATTTCAATGTTTTATTGCCGCCCCATAAGGTCTCCTCAAAGGTTTCTAGTTCAAACAACGAGCAACCTGGCCTTTTGACTACTTGGCAGAAGTTGTTGTTGTTGCTTATTTTCTTGTTGTTGTCATTCTATTTGCTCGCTTTCAATTATTCATTGAAATATGATTGCGGCCTAAGCTTTAAATGCAAATTTTTCACTTCTTTATGGCCCTTTGCGATTATTGACACAACAATTGGCGGCCGGAATTCAAAGACTCAGCCAAGCCAGCCATCCAGCAATTGCAAAATGTTACAATTCATGTTCAAACGCAAAATGACATTTGAAAATGAAAGCTGTTGCAGGTATATTATTATTTGTGGCATGGCTCTTGCTTTGCATTGCGTTTCTTTTTTTGTATCACAGCACGGGTCGCTTTGGCAAAGATTGAATCTTTGAAGATGAAGTATGGAAATTGGGATTTGGTATTTGGAGGATATCTAGTATGCAAAATATCAAAAAATTCAGAATGATTCAGAACTTTTTACAAAGTTAGAGAGACCACGGTTCAAATTGCGCGGGATAAAATAACATCTAGAAATACCAAGAGCCGAATTAACTACACCTTGTGTTTTATAACAATTTATCACTGGACTAATTTTACCAACATATTTTAAGGCCACTGACAAGCCCTACACTGCGGTGAAAGTTCCTAAACTAAAGCCCATAAAATTTTGGGACGGCATAGAAAATATTTACATTCACCTAAAAATATGCTTTAAAATTCCTAAAATTTATATTTTTGAAGTGGGTGTTTTATTTGACCATTGATTAAATATATGTTTCTGAACTACTCAGAGGTAATCTTAAACCCCAATTTAATCCCTTTTAAATGAACTAAATGCAAAAGACGAATTTTACAAAGTTTCACCTAGGTTGGAAAATAAGAGCGAACTTTACTTTGTTTCAAAAATATCAGGACGGATAAGTATAAATAGTTCATTATTACAACAACTTAAAACTTAGTAAGTTCGGTCAGGCCGAACTTTGAATACCCACCACCACTTGGTAGGAATTGCGAAATATTCAAAAAAAAAAAAAAAAAAAAGATATGAATAAAAAATGAACTCCGTTAAAAATTCTGTTAGATTCAGTTATACTGGGTTCTACATGGGCCATTAGAGTATTCAAATACAAAACTTGAAAAATCGTCAAAATACCGAATATAGGGGAGGTACCGTTATATGGGGCCTATATGAAGAAGTGGGCCTATATGAAGAAGTGGACCTGCATAGACAATTTTCTATCACAGGTTGTAGCACCCGTTACGAACTATTAATACCAAATTTGGTACAATTCCGGTGAATAATGTGACTAAAATCATCAAAATACCGAATATCGGGAGGTACCATTTTATGGGGGCTATATCAAAACGTGAACCGGCACAGACAATTTGCTATCTTAGGCTGTAGTATCCATTACGAAATTCAATTCCGGTGAAAAATGTCGCTAAAATGATCAAAATACCGAATATCGGGAGGTACCGTCATATGGGGTCTCTACGAAGAGGTGGACCTGCATAGACAATTTTCTGTCTCAGGCTGTAATTTCCATTACGTACATCAAGTACCAAATTTCAAAAAAATTCCTGTAAATAATATCGCTAAAATCATCAAAATACCGAATATCGGGAGGTACCATTATATGAGGGCTACACCAAAACGTGAACCTGCATGGACAATTTTCTGTCACTGGTTGTAATACTCGTTACGAACTATTAATACCAAATTTGAAACATTTCCGGTTAATAATGTCGTAAAAATCAACAAAATACCGAAAATAGAGAGGTACCATGATATGGGGGCTACACGAAGACGTGGACCTGTACCGACAATTTTTGTCATAGGCTGTAGTACCCATTACGAACTTCAAATGACAAATTTGAAACATTTCCGGTGAATAATGTCGCTTAAATGACCAAAATACCGAAAATAGGGAGGTACCATTATATGGGGACTATACCAAAACGTGGACTAACTTGGTCCATTTTCAATACCAAGAGTCCTGCAGACATAATATAAATTTGAGTAAAATTTTATCAACTTCACTTCGTTCGGAAGCTAGAGTGATTTAAACAGACGAACGGACATTGCTAAATCGACATAGAAATTTATGCTGATCAAGAATATATACTTTGTGGGGTATAAAATGAATATTTCGAGGTGTTACAAACGGAATGACGAACTTAATACACCCTCCGTACTATGGTAGAGGGTATGAAAGGAAACAGTATAGTGCTTGGAGCCGTTATATGGGTTATAAAAAATAGGACAATTTTATACCACAACAAGTAAAAAGGCATTGAATTCGGCCAGGCCAAACTTTGAATACCCACCATTTGGAACGAATTGGGGAATTTTCAAAAAATAAATGAAATAAAATGTGTTAAATATTCTATTAATAACTTACGAATACCGAATATGGCCGTTAGATTGGAGTCTATATGAAGACGTGGACCTTCATAGGCAACCTTTGTCATAAGACATTGCAATACATATTCAACTGCGGAACTTGAGAAAAAACAATCTGGTGAATAATGTAGCTAAAATCACTAAAATACCGAATATAAGGAGGTACCATTATTTGTCGGCTACACTAAAACGTGGACCAGCACAGACAATTTTCTGTCATAGGCTACGAAAAATATTTGGCTACAATAATCTAAATATCGAACATCGGGAGTACCGTAATAAGTGGATTATACGATATCGTGCACCGATACATTATGGGATATCTTCGAACTTGACCTGCTTGATCTGTGCAAAATTTTTTTTCTTGTGACTTTTTTTATATAGCGCCCTCCAGAAATGTTGTCAGCTGAGTTCCGGTGCTTTTTCAATGGCAAAACTAGTTATCTTAAAATAAAGGAAACTGTAATAATTGTTTACTGTCTTTTTTAGTAAAATTATGAAGGGTACAATTGACCACCGCGCCATTATCTATGTCCCAAAATTTATTCTCGACAATTAAAAAAAAAAATCCTCCCGAAAGCTCTCAAAATTTTCCATTTTATTTCCCCATAGAAAATTATCACTTGCAAAACTAAAGGAAGTTTATGATATTATATTTCGAATATGTTATTAACATACACAGTGCGTTTCTTTTATTATTTTTGCACTTTACCTCAATAATTGTTTAAAAAAAAGTGATCAAGAAACATTAGTAAAATGGACCGTTCAGGATGGTATTCTCAAAATTATATATTTATTCAATATGTAACATATAAACCATTATTGTAATATAATTGTAAATTATATATTCAAAGTTAATTAATTTTTTACAATTTTCTACTTATTAATGAATGGAGGAATGATCGCTCAAGAAAAATGCTTTCTGTTAGAATATAATTACTCGGGAAATTTCATGATTGGATAGACAAACAAATTTCGACGTGCAACATTTTTAATCGAAAACACTCTTTTGGCAAACAAAACACGACTTTATTTTAAACATCTACAATAAAACACCATATGCCTAAAAGTATGCTAATACAAATTAAATGAATTTTTCTAACTGAAATACTGCTAAAATTCTATATTGTCTCAAAAGAGAAAGAAATATTTTAAAAATCCAATTTAATCCTCTTCATTTCCAACCAATGAATCCCTACCTTTATTTCAACAATTTTAGATTTGAGTTCCTTCTTTTGAAGTTGCAACATATTTGTATTGAATTTCAACTATTTTCCAAACAACCTCAAGGTAACCAACCTCTATTGTAATTCGCCTTACAATGAAAATCAGATTTAATGGTCCAATGGCTCGCATTCCTAAGCCTAGCAAGATTCGGTGGAAAAAATATGAGTCAGGCATGTAACCTTAACTTTTATACTAAAACTAATCAATTTAACCAATTAATCACCCCAGAAACGACGATACACCAGACAATCGGCTTTGTTTGACGTTTGGTTTACGATTTGTATTGCCAGCCGCTCTGGGCAAGTGTGTGTGTAGCGGTGGCACTACTGGCCAATCGATGGCATCTTCAAACAAAACAAATGGCAACAACAGACATTATAACATGTATTGAGATTGAAACTGTTTTGTTGGATCCATATTATGGAACATTCAAGCCATCATGCATACAACAATACTCAGCCACCCGTTCAGCCCACCTTTCGTCCAGCCATCACCCATCATTCGTTGTCTATTCGTCAGATATATTTCAACCTTGTACTTGTTTTCCCATTGTTGTGGCATGAACCTACTTTACATCTTAAGTGTAGTGTGATGCTAATGTTTGACCACACAGCATTATATGCATGTGTGTAGGTTCGAACATCACTACTCATTGTATTATTGTTTTTTTTTTTTGTGAAGAACATCAAACGAAATTTGAAGTACAAAAATTCTAATATCGAAATTGTTGGCGAACAAATTGTTTGTTTGTATTTCAGTCTTAAATCACAGTAGAATTCAATTCACCTGTCTGCCAGGCTGCCATCCATTTCGTTTTGACCTCGACGTCCCCCCCCCCACCATTGTACTTACCTGGTGGCAATTTACTTTTCAGCATATCCATTGCAACGACATTGACAATCAGTACCCATATGGGGCATTCCAGTATGTCACTTTCGGACTTAACAAAAGCCACCGCTGACAGACATTGAGTCTCCAAACGTCGTCGATCGGGATAGGCTCGTCTCAGTTCACGATTAACATTTGATTGAAACTTTTTCATATCAAACAACTGCAAAGGGAGAGAAACAAATAAATAGAAGACGACATGTATGAATGATATATCGAGAGACAGGTGGCAAGAACACTGTTCTATTGCTGGCATTGCAGGGAGCCAGATTTAGTAGGAGAATGGGAATGTTTTCAAACTCACTTTGACTATTTTTTCACTTTCCAATGCCTGATTGGGTAATTTCAAAATATCGGCTCCAATAGAGGTCTCTTCGTTGGGACTGCTAGCCGTGCTTTTGATATAAACATTACTTTTGGCATAACGTCGTATTAAGATATTGCCAGCATCGTCCATTTTGATTTTGACACCCTGAAAATATATAAAATTGAAATTTATTAAAAAATGATTTCAAGATCTTAAAGCCTCTGCCTCATCGTTACAGATTATATATCTCATACGTCCAAAATGTGCTTCAAAAAAATAATAAATAAATAAATAAATTAATAAAATTAACAAGTAAAAAATCAGTAAATTCGACCGGGCCGAACTTTGAATACCCTCCCCCATTTAGAACGTATTTTGGAATTTTCAAAAAAAAAAAAAATAATAATAATAATAAATAAATAAATAAATAAACATAAAATACTTTAAAAAATCTGTTAAAATCCTAAAAATACCGAATATAGCCATTATTTTGGGGCCTATACGAAGACGTGGACCTGCGTAGGAAACTTTTGTCATAAGTCATTACAATATTTAAATACGAAACTTGAAAAAAAAAGAATCCGGTAAATGGTGTAGCTAAAATCATCGAAAGACCGAATATAGGGAGGTATCGTTATATCGGGGCTATACGAAGACCTGGACTTACATACCCAAGGCTGTAGTACATACAAGGAACTCCAAATAGGAAATTTCGAACAATTTCGGTGAATATTGTATCTAAAATCGTCAAAACACCGAACATAGGGAGGTACTGATATATAGGGCCTATTCGAGTACCTGGACTTGCATAGACAATTTTCTGTTATAGACTGTAGTTCCCATTACGAACTCTAAATATGAAATTTGAAACAACCCCGGTGAATAATCTTGCTAAAATCATCAAATTACCAGATGTAGGGAGATGTCGTTATATGGGGCATATACTATATCGTGGACCTATACAGACATTTCTCTTCAAGTGGGTAAAGTGCTTAGAAAGAATTTCTAGTACGGATTTTTAGACAAATCCATTGAAAAATGTAGCCAAATTTACCAAAATACCGAATATAGGTAGGTATTGTTTTATAGGGCATATATCCTTTATCCCCTATATAAAACGGGGGTCTTTATATACAGTACTCAGAAGGAACTCCTTTTGTGGATTTTCAGATGATTTCATTGAAATGTTTGGCTACAATCATCAAAGTACCGAATATCGTGGAGGTTCCGTTATATATATGATATCGTGGACCGATAATACTGATATATGTAAAATGTCAGCTTTAATCGTTTTGACTCTAGCGTGACGGACGGACAGATTTACTTTGTTAGGTCTAAAATTATTATTTCCATAATATACTATGAATGGTGAAGGGTATAAAAATACTGTAGGGACATAGGGCCTCTCTTTGAACGAAACCGGTTTCAGGACATTTGAGGTCGATCTAGTCAAGATCTTCAGATACAGGGTTGCCCATGTTCGACGGACCCATGGCCCCATTCCAATCGACGAGGCTTGTCCGCAGGCAACATTCTTTGCGTCAATTGAATTTTGTACGCGAACAAATGCAAATCAATGCGAATAATCCGTTGTAAAATAGACCGAGCCATACCCAACTGCTGAGAACGGCGTTTTTGGGATATTCTTGGGGACCTATCAACACTGGCTCGTACGGCATCGATATTCCCGGCCAATCGCCTTGGTCGACTTTTATATGGCCTCTTCGGATTAGAAAGAGCCTTACCAGTCGAAAATTTTTTGTATAAACGCTTAATGGTGTTCATAGAAGGCGCACTTCTCACATTTTGTAATGTTTTAAAAGCACGTTGAGTTTTCACAATTGACTTCTTCTGTTGAATGTAAATTTCAGAGCGCTCGCGTGGCGTGTATTGGTTCATGGTAAAAATCTGCTTGGACTGACGCTTCAAACGCGGTATGTCATTAAGCGATGTGACATCTCTGTCAAAAGTTATGGCGTTGCCAGATGGGTCCGTCGAATATGGACAACCCTGTATATATACAATACTCTTCCAGGGGCTAAAGTACTCAGAGGGACTTCTTTTGTGGATTTTCAGACAATTTCATTGAAAAGTTTGGCTACAATCATCAAAGTACCGAATATCGGGAGGTATATATGATATCGTGGACCGATATAGCTCATCTTCGAACTTTACCTGCCTGCAGACGAAAAACTGATCTTTGCAAAATGTTAGGTTCCTTCTTTATTCATTTTGACTCTAGTGTGATTACAACAGATGGACAGGATGGGCAGGCCTAAATCTTCTTAGGATTTTACGCTGATCAAGGATATATATACTTTATTATGTCTAAAGTTATTATTTCGATGAGTTACAAACGGAATGATGAACTTAATATGCCCTCCATACTACGTGTGGTGGAGGGTATAAAAAATACCGCAGGCACATAGGGCCTCTCTTTGAAAGAAATCCGTTTCAGGATATTTGTGGTCGATTTATTCATGATCGTGATCTTGAGATACAAAGGAAAGAGAGAAACAAAAGTATGAGAGAGAGAGAGAGAGAGAGAAAGAGCCTCTAGATCCCCAGGCCTATCAAGCAAGACTGAAAGGTACCATCAACTTTCAGAAAGTTATGTAAAGTAAACACCTTCATTGGGTATTCAATAAAAAGAAAGCATTCTAAAACACTCTAAAAAAGATAAGATCTATTATGGGTTTTTAAAAAGGGAATTCCTTTCAAGAGTTTCTATTAAGTAAATACCTTCAAAAGGTTTTCTTTAATTGTTATAATAAATATCTTTCTTAAAAAAAAAAACTTTCAAAGGCCTTCTAAAGACAAAATGCCTTCAACAGGTCTTGTGGTAAGAGCAATGCCAACAACTCTTTTGGTAAGAAACGACCATCTAAAGGTACTCTATACAGAGAAGACCTTGGAAGATGTTCTAGAGATCTTCTTTTAAAAATGGTCCTCTAATTTTTGTTCTTAAAGAAAGCCATCTTAGGAGAAAGCCATCTTAAAAACCCGTTTTAGGATCTTCTATTAAGAGAAAACCTTCAAAATTTTTATTTTTAAAAGAAGACCTCCTAAAAGACTCATTAAAAAGGCCTCTGTAAAGAGCTGAATAACAAAAGGTCTTGGTAAGGAACGAATTAAAAACCAATAAAAAGGAAGTATTTGAAAGTTTTCCAGAGATGTTCTATAAAAGATGTTCTATAAATTTTGTTTATGGAGAAAAGTCCTTCTGAATGTCTTTTTTCAAGCAAATGCCTTCTTAGGATATTCTAACTTCTTAGGATATTCTACCTTCTTAGGATATTCTATAAGAAGAAAAACTTTTTTTGTTTTATTTTATTCTTTTTTTTTTTTTTTTTGAAAAGAAGGTAAGATATGTTTTAAAGAAAACAACTTTTAAAAAAAAAATTTCCAAATTTCTCTAAAAAAATGCAACATAAAGATCTTCATATAGAAAAGACATTCGAAAGACCGAGTATAATAACAATAGACGCCAGTGTAATCAGCGTCATGCTTAAGTGTTTAATCCTCCATTTTTTATACCCTCCACCATAGTATGGAGGGTATATTAAGTTTGTCATTCCGTTTGTAACACCTCGAAATATATATTTTAGACCACACAAAGTATATATATTCTTGATCAGCATAAAATTCTATGTCGATTTAGCAATGTCCGTCCGTCCGTCTGTGGAAATCACTCTAGAAATGAAGTAGGTTGATAAAATTTTACTGAAATGTGTACTATGTCTACAAGACTTTTGGTCTTGAAAATGGGCCATGTAGGTCCACGTCTTCGTATAGCCCCCATATAACAGTACCACCCGATATTCAATATTTTGATGATTTAAGCGATATTATTTACCGGAATTGTTTCAAATTTGGTGTTTGAAGTTCGTAATGAATACATCCAAAGACAGAAAATTATCTGTGCAGGTCCACGTCTTCGTGTAGCCCCCATATAACGGTACCCCCGATATTCGGTATTTTGATAATTTTAGCGACATTGTTTTCCGGAATCGTTTCAAATTTGGTATTTGAAGTTCGTAATGGATACTACATCCTAAGTCAAAAAATGAGCCATGTAGGTCCACGTCTTCATATAGCCCCCATATAAATGTACCCCCCGATATTCGGTATTTTGATGATTTTAGCGACATTATTTAGCGGAATCGTTCAAAATTCGGCATTTGAAGTTCGTAATAGATACTGCAGCATAAAATAGAAAATGGGGTATATAGGTCCACGTCTTCATATAGCCCTCATATACCGTACCTCCCGATATTCGGTATTTTGATGATTTTAAAGACATTATTTACCAGGATTGTTTCAAATTTCGCATGTGAAGTTCGTAATGGATACTTCAGCCCATGCCAGAAAATTGTCTGTACAGGTCCACGTCTTTGTATAGCCCCCATATAACAGTACCCCCCATATTCGGTATTTTAATGATTTTAGCTACATTATAAACAGATTTTTCTTCAAGTTACGCATTTAAATATTGTAATAACTTATGACAAAAGTTGCCTATGCAGGCCCACGTCGTCGTATAAGTATTCTGCATTTTTATGATTTTAACAGAATTTTTAAAGGATTTTATTTTTTGGAAATTGACAATTTTGTACCAAATGGTGGAGGGTATTAAAAGTTCGGCCCGGCCGAACTTACAACTTTTTTACTTGTTTTAGTTTTTTTTTTCTTTTTGAAAAGAAGGTAAGATTTGTTTTAAAGAAAACAACTTCTCAAAATTTTCAACAAAGAATATACTTTTTTAAATTTCCCTTAAAAAAATACGACAACATATAGATCTTCCATATAGAAAAGACTTTCGAATGACCAAGTATAATAACAATAGACGCCAGTGTAGTCAGCGTCATGCTTTAGTGTTCAATCCTCCATTTTTTTTAATCTAAGGGTTTTCAGGGAAGCTATTTTTGAATGATTGGAAGAAATTTATAGTATGTTCATATAACATTGATATTTTTGTTTCGTTATTTTCGAAAATAAAGTTTAGATTTTGAATCCACATTATTTATGACTTTTTGGAAGAATTAATTTAATGTCCAGGATAATGATTTTATGCTACAAAGAGTAGAAACCCCATTTTTGATAATGTTAAATCTTCTCACATGTCTTCAGAAATCACATATATATTTAAGTTATGATAATTCAAGATATGGATTTAAATATTTAAGCATCCTTACTAAAATCATTTACTGAATTTGTCATCCAACGAATTTTCAAAAAAAAAAAAAAAAAAAAAAAACATCAAACTATTGCAATTAATGCTATTGCTGGGTTTGGCAATTTTTCTCAAAGCTGCTGCCTGAGAAAATTTTACAAAACACCAAAAAATTAAATATAACCTCTCTTAAGTGTTTCCTTGAACTTTTGTGCACTCAATATCTGCTTGAATAATTTTATGTAATTTATCAAATTATTAACAAAAAATAAATAGATAATGTCTAGAATGACCACAAGAATGTTAACCAAGCCATTAAACACATACACACCAAATATGGTGAAAATCTGCTTGTGGGTAATGAATATTGAAAACATAGATTATGTTTTGAAATTTTGCAAAAAAAAATATTTTATTCTAAGATTTCGAAAAGAGTAGACAAGAGGCAAGAAAAGGAAAAAAATTGACGCCAGCGGCTAGTTTGAGCTGGTTAATATGGATCAAGACTGATATGATATGGCGTCACACATGATTGAAAAATTGCTTCTTATGTTGGCTGTTGTGGGGCATTAAGTAGCCTTAGTGCAAAAAGCAGAATAGAAATGATTTATTTCTAATTAAAATATAATTTTGTTGTTGACTGCTATATCATGTTGTTAGTCTTTGGCCAATCCGAACTGGGCGTTGGCTAATGACCACCACAGCCAAGAACGTGTGACAAAACATGTTCTTGGCGAGTGGGTGTTGCTTGCAGGCGATCTGGCTTGTAAGCTTATATATCATTTTGAAAGTTATTAATGGGGTTTTGTTTGGTTTTTGCAGAAACAAAAAACCGAAAAAGAAATAAAGATAATTTCGGTTGTTGTCAGGTAACCATATTATAGATTTAATTTTTTGGATAACCTACATCACCCTGTTTGAACTTTGAAAAGGAAGTAGTTTTGGCATTTTCCTCATGAGTCAAGACACATGTATTAGAGCTGACAAACTTCGTGGACTACTGCCCAGGGCAATTAGATAGGGGGCTAAGTTAATTTGAATTTGGTGGGATCCTACGCTGTTCAGTTCGGGTCAGACAATAATTTCTGTCGAGAGGCTTTCCATCCTCGAAGAAATCAAAATTAAAAAAATATATCCAAATCGATTGGAAAACTATGGTTAAGACCCTTCGCAATAACTAAAATCAGGGGCAACTTTATTTAAAGGCTGTACCCAAACGTGGACGTTGATATAGAATTTTTTTTTTTTTTTGAAAATCGCGATTCCCCACAATAATAACAAAAAAACGGCGAATTTAAATGGAAAATATTACTCAAATGTAAACAATATTTGAAATTGGGGTTTATCCTTATATAGGGACTATACCAAAAAGAGGGCGGAACAATGATTCTAGAAGTAATACCAAACTCTCTATAAATTTTCAGAGCTCTATATTAAATATTGCAAAACATATATCAAACTATTGGGGTCCTTTTGTATATGGTCAAAACTATATAAAGACCTTTAAAACGTTTGGCCTAAGAGCCCGGAACTTATTTGGGGTTTCGAGCTACAAACTGAGTACTAACACATCTACCTGAAATTTTCCACATTCCAAACTGACTATTGGCCCGCGGAGCTATAGGAAAATGTTATACCCTCCACTATAGTATGGAGGGTATATTAAGTTTGCCATTCCGTTTGTAACACCTCGAAATACACACTTTATACCCCACAAAATATATATATTCTTGATCAGCATAAAATTCTATGTCGATTTAGCGATGTCCGTCCGTCTGCCTGTCCGTCTGTGGAAATCACTTTAGCTTCCAAACGAATTGAAGTAGATTGATAACATTTTACTCAAATGTATGTTATGTCTGCAGCTCTTTTGTTATTGAAAATGGGCTATGTAGGTCCACGTTTTGGTATAGCCCCCATTTAACGGTCCCCTCCCGATATTCGGTATTTTAATAATTTTAGAGACATTTTTCAACGGATTTGTTTCTAATTTGGTATTTGAAGTTCGTAATGGATACTTCAGCCTAAGACAGAAAATTGTCTATGCAGGTCCACCTCTTCGTAGAGCCCCCTTATAACGGTACCTCCAGATATTCGGTATTTTAATAATTTTAGAGACATTTTTCAACGGAATTGTTTCTAATTTCGTATTTGAAGTTTGTAATGGATACTTCAGCCTAAGACAGAAAATTGTCTGTGCAGGTCTACCTCTTCGTAGAGCCCCTCTAATACGGTACCTCACCATATTCGGTATTTTAATAATTTTAGAGACATTTTTCACCGGAATTGTTTAAAATTTGGTATTTGAAGTTCGTATTGGATACTACAGCTTTATATAGCTCCCATACAACGGTACCGCCCGATATTCGGTATTTTTATAATTTTAGTTACATTATTCACTGATTTTTTCAAGTGTCGCATTTAAATATTGTAATGGCTTATGACAGAATTTGCCTAAGCAGGTTCACGTCGTCGTATAGACCCTAATAAAACGGCTAGATTCGGCATTTTTGAAGAGGGTATTCAAAGTTCGGCCCGGCCGTACTTACAGCCTTTTTCACTTTTTTGGCAACTTTGATACTAATATTTTCCTAACGGAACTAGAAAAGTATTTTCTTTGGTGACTTAAAGTGAAATTTGCTTTAGATTATTTTTGCCTTTGGCGTCATCCTTCTAAAGCGATGGTTTGTAGGAGAACTATTTACCACAAAAATGAGTTTTGAATATTTATGAATTCCTTCGTTTAGGTAAGATTAGTTCTCAATTGGGTCCTATAGTAGATTTTTATGGTGAATAGTTTTGTAGAATATTTTGACTTGCTACGTTAAAAGGGATTTTCTTACCATATTTTTAAAAAAAGGACCAAAAAGACCCCTAAGTTTTGACTTGCTACGATCCAGTTTAAAGGGATGTTTTCACCATATTTTAAGAAAAGGACCAAAAAGACCTCTATGTTCCCTTGACTGACTCGTTTCAGGGTAAAAATGTCTACCAATAATTATCGCCAATATTGTCCGTTTCACTATGTAACCAAAACGAATTCCAAGGAATTTTAATCCGAAAATTCCCAAAAGGGTTACCATTTTGGTTAATTTGCGATGTAAATTTTAAAAACACCGATACACGTGTCTTCTATTTTTTGCTCAGCTTTCATTATCTGCTAGACTTTCTCCGTAATTGTTAAAAAAATTTAATTTTGTCGCAGTGTTTAATTTTGTGAAATAGTTGACAGGCAATAGGGTGTTTGTAGCTGAATTTTGAAAGAAAATTGAAAATCCGGAAAAAATTTCGTAGAGTGGGGAATTTCGCCCCCCCCCTTTTTTTGCTTACCTCGCGATGTAATCTATCAAAACGCCGAAGCCAAAAACTAGTATTTTTAGCTCTACTTTCATATTCTTCTGGATTTTTTCTGTAGTTATGAATTTTGTCGCACAGTGTTATTTTGTGGAATTTGGCTGGCGGCGATCGCGTTTAAAAGGAGTTTTGTTTACCTATATTTCGAAAAATAACACCATAAAAACCGTTTGGGTGATTCGGTTGAGGGTTAAAAATGTAGACGGAAATAATCCTGATATTGTTTTCAGTAATATTGCCGAAGATACTATATGGCTCAAATATTCTACGGAATCTTAAAAAATGCGGAAGAGGAGGGAATTGTCCCCTCTCTTTAGGTCACTTTTTAAAACATCTGTATTCTAATTTTAGCTCTAATTTAAAAATCTGTTTAGTTTCTTCCTGTCATTATTTTTTGTGTTGCACAATGTTATTTTAAAAGATTTTCTATTCCACCAACTCACCTGGCCAATGTGTTTTTTAAATTCCTCTGTTTTCTGATCACGCATTGGATTATCAAAGCCACATAAACCGATTCTGAAAAAAAAGAGAAACATAAAAATAATTATTAACTATTATTAGCACTAGCTTTCAAAAGAGAAACTATAAACAATTTTCGTTCACAACAACAGCAACAGCAACAAGAAAATCAAACGTTTCACAAATTCTCTCTAGTCTGTCAAACTGATGTCGTGTGAATCCCATAAACTTTATGGTGCTAGATGTGAAGTTTTTTTTTTTTTTCAATACCATTTTGTGTATTTGCCACAAAGCGTATCTATCACTCTTGGCAAGGCACTAAAGAAGAATAATATGTCTGTCATTTAAGTTTTCTGTCATTAAGTTGTTAATTTCCATCATGGAGTATGGATATTGGTTGCATAAGATTTATATATTTTTTTTTTTTTTGAAAATTTCATTCAATGTCTCGGCTAATGATTTTATGATATGTCATAAAATTAAAAATTACTTTTAAATTTCCAGATGAGATTCCAATGCGTAGCTTTGGGTATCGAATCATAAATCGGTAGACTACTAATGTTCACTTAAGGTTTATTGCATGTGGACATTGTTTTTATGGTTATGATTAACTTTCTGGTCTGCAAGACAAGTTCTCATGTAAAGTGAAGAAGATAGCTCATTGTAGGGTTTTAAGACTATTTTTGATGGACTTTAAGACTCACAATTGAAGATTTTTAGAACATTTAGAGGCATGTACAGCTTTAATCGTTGATTTTAAGTACCATTATAACGGACCTGTAGAGCAATTATCGTAAAATTTAAATATTTTTCAAGGCCTTGATATCAATAATCGTGGAGTCTTAAAAACAAGTTTTAAAGATTTTTTAAGGGCTATCAGAGTTATAAGTAGTGGAATCGGAGACTATTATCCGAGATTTAAAGGATTATTTTTGATAACAATAAAGATAAATTGTAAAAGGGGAATCTAGTCCTATTCACAGATCTTTAAAGAAAATTTATAAGGGTAGGATCAAGGCAATGTTTGTAAGTGATTAAGACTATGCTGGATAATTCAAAGACATTTTAACGGGGTGGCTAAAGGACCAAAACTGTAGATTTCTTGAGAGTATTTTTAAAAGAATATCAAGGCTAAAATTAAGGAAGGATCAAGGCTATAATTGTGGAGATTTTAAGGAAAAAAGTCTATAATTATTAGTTTAAAGAGAATTTTTGAGCAAAGGATTAACACATCGATTGTATTTTTGGTTATTTTCGGTGCTTAAACTTTTGAGATTTCAAGAAAATTCCTTGGGGAAATGATCGAGGATTTCTTAAGAGTATCTAAATGGAAAGGATCAAGGTAATATCCAGGCAATATTTGTGGATATATTTCAAATATTTTAGAGGAGAGATAAAGTCTATGCTGGATATTCTTTTAGAAACATTTTATGGACAAAAACTGTGTTTTTTTTTGAAAATATTTTAAAAACAAAAAAAAAAATACGAAAAGATCAAGTCTATTATTCTGGATATTCCTAGAAAAATGATGCTGTAATTATAAGTTTTTTTAAGAGATTTTTTGAGCTACGGACTAGGGATTGTTTTTTTTTTATATTTGGAGCTAAAACTTATTCTCGTGATGGAACTTTTGAGATTTAGAGAAACATTTTTGGTGAATGAAGGAGGTTTTAATCTAGGATTTATAAAAAATGTGTATATGGAAAGGTTCAAGGTAACATTCATGGTTTGATTTTAAAGGTTTTTATAGGAAGCTTCAATGATGGCATATTTTGAAATATATTAGTGAATTTTTCGAGTATTTTTATATCCTCAGCCCTCAACCTCAGGCTGGATATAGTATGTAACATTTGATGCGGCCAAAACGTGTCTCTTCGAAATAACGGTTTTAGAACGTAGGTCTCTTTGGACCAATTCCGTTTCAGGACATTTGGAGTCGAAGGGAGTATCCAATTTGGTCCAAACATGATATATCATAATATTATTATCAAACTAAGATGTAGTTCGGAGATGTGCAATATCGGTCCACTCCTTCTGGAGTGGACTTTTTTCTTGCACAGAAAGAAGAAGGATGGTCCGATTTTGCACCAACTTTACAACTCTTATTATTTGCATCAGTGTTAGGTCAAGTGCAAAAAGGAGCAATGTCTGTCTACTCCACCAAGTACCTCCCCCACAAAGGGTCAAAATTTTGAATGATTATACATCCTATGAAATGTGATGTTAGAGTCCGATTATTTTCAAACTACACACATTACAATATTTTTATGAATCCATAGTCTGGTATGAGGATGGGATATATTGGTCCACTCCTTCTGGTACCTCCCTCACAAAGGGCCAAAACTTTGAATATCCGTGAAGCTCATGAAACGCGAAATTACCATTCGATGCCATTCAGACTTGACAAATAATAATATTTCTATCAATACAAGATCTTTTATAAAGTTGGTAGAGATCGGACCATTCCTCCTGGTACCTCCCCCGCAAAGGGTCAAAGTTTGGAATAATTATAACTCTTATAAAATATGATGTAAGGGTCAGATTATTTTCAAATTACACACATCACAAATTTTTTTATTAACCCAAGGTCTGGTGGGAAGTTGGAATATATTCTGGTACCTCCACTACAAAAGGTTCAAAACTTTGAATATCCATGAAGCTCATTCAGACTTGACAAATCTCAATATTTCTATCAACACAAGATTTGTTATAAATATGGTAGAGATCGGAATATTCCTTCTGGTAAATCCACCCCCCCTCCCCCCAAAGGGTCAAAATTTTGATTTATTAGAACTCTTATAAATTGTGAAGTAAGAGCCAGATCGTTATCAAATTACACATATCACAATATTTTTTATTAACCCAAGGTCTGGTGTGAAGATGGGATATATCGGTACACTCCTTCTGGTACCTCCACTACAAAGGGTCAAAATTTTGAATATCCATTATGCTCAAAAAACGCGAAATTAACATCCGCTTCCATTCAGACTTGGTACATCACAATATTTCCATCAACACAAGATTTGTTATAAAGATGGTAGAGATCGGAATATTCCTTCTGGTAAATCCACCAAAGGGTTAAAGTTTTGAGTAACCAAAACAATTATAAAATCTGAAATAAGCATCCCGATCTCTTCATATTTCACACATCACAATATTTTTATCAACATAAGGTCTGGTACAAAATTTGAGATATATCGGTCCATTCATTCTGGTCAAAATATCCATGGAGATCGTAAAACACGAAATTGACATTCCATTTCCATTCAGACCTGGTACATCTCAATATTTCCATCAACACAAAATCTGTTAGAAATATGGTAGAAATCGGACCATTTCTTCTAGTACCTACCCCACATAGGGTTCAAGATTTTGAAAAAGAAAACTCTCAAAGAAAGCGAAATGTGCATCCAACTCTCTTCAAATTTCACACATACAAACATTTTTGCTAACAAAAGATCTGTTGAGAAGATCCACCCACAAAGGGTCACCGTTTTTCAATATTTTTACAGGTCATAAGATACGAAACATTTTTCTAAAAATTATCACATATCTCATATAAAGTGAAAAAAGTAACCAATTTAGTCGAAACCTGGCACTTCGCAATATTTAAATCATATTTATTTATGTCCAATACGAAATGAACAATATTGACCCATTCTTTCGAAACCTACGCCATAGAGGATCAACAATTTGAATAATCATGACAGAAGTCAAAATATATTTAAATAATCGAACAGTGGCTGAGGGTAAACATCTTTCGGAAAAACCTGTGTGTCCTCCACCTGATGTGCTCTTATAACATTACAAAGTTTGTCTCTTAAGTCATTTGTTTTATTTCAATCCATCCCTCAATATTTCATCACCTAGATCAAAGAAATCAATTAAATACCTTCATTTATTACGAGAAACAGAAAAAAATAATCTAATCAAACATTAAAAACAAATTTAACATTCCACGATACCAAAAACGTTAAGCTGGAATGGAATACCTTTTTTTGTTTTTGAGGTTATGAAGAAACCACAAAAATGCTGCATTGTTTTTTCAGCAATATTTTCTTGCAGTTGGTTTTTGTTTTTTTTTTTTTTTTTAACATAAAATAAAATGCATAATACCTAGATACCGTAGATATATATATATATACTCCAAAAAAATATAAAGGTGTACATAAAAGGCGTTGTAAATATATACCGCTTTATACTATTTTTTGTTAAACATTTTTTGTTGATATTTTGCTAATAAGCAAGCAAGCCAGCCACCGACCGACCACGGCTACTGGTCGGATACCAACAACAAGTGAAACCAAAAAATATTGAAACAAAAAACTTTCAGCATAAAGTTAAATGTTGGTGTTGTTGCAGTTGCAGTTGCCGCCTTTGGTTGGTTGGTTGGTGGTTGCGCCGTTGCCTGATAATAGTACTGTAACATTTAGCCACTATCATTACCAACATTGCCACAATGAAGAACAACAAAAACAACAACATTTTTTTTGAACGGCATCGAAACTTCAGTGGATGACCTTGCAACCGTTGCACTCGCATAATCCTCTGCTGGCTGGCTTGCGGACTGACTGACTGGCTAACTGTAGAAGTGCATTAAGCAGACACCGATTGTTTTTTCGGTTAATTTTGCGGTGTTTTTTTATGTATTTTTGTTGTTGCGATTACATTTTTTTGAGCGTCTTTTGTTGTATTTTTTTTTTTTTTTTTTGAAGATATTTCAATTGTTTTTGTTGGCCATTTCAATTCCATCTGCGGATTGGGTGTGTGTGTGTTAAATGAGCTTGGTGCATTAAATAATGATGCCATGGTGTGGTTTTGCAGCAGGTTTCTGCTTCAGTGATGATGGTGTTGATGATAGTTGTCTCACTGTCAGTGTGGCCCCATTGGGTGGTGGCTACTTTTCGACCAGAAATATTTGGAATTTTGTCATTTTTCACGGCATTGATTTTGGTACGAATTCGAGATTTTTGTCGTCAGAGGTAGGCATAAGACGTATTTCACCTTTACTTCACTTGATCGGGATAAATATTTAAAATTAAGTAAAGCTTTCCAGA